AGGGAAGATGCTTGTATGTCTTCAGCGCAGCCCAGATCTAATATTCGCGTGAGTCGATTTCTCGAGAATATTTTATCAAATACTCACCTGCTTCCATCCAATCGTCGTGTAGTGTTCGCCTTCAGGTAAACTAGGGCCTGGCCTGGGTTCCTGGAGGATGACTGGAGAATTTTCAGCAGGAAGCATACTAAAGACGAGCTACAATATACTCACACCACCAGATACCAAGTACCACCCAGTACGTGGTGACACTACACATCAATCAATACAACACCTTAAATACTTGATTGACAAAAAGCTTACAGCACGAGGACATAATTGTCCACCTTCGGGTTGTTCGTCATCGGCAGCAAAAGTGTCAAGTTCAGCAATAAGGTAATTATATACCCGACATTACTATGAACCTATATCGAGCGAACGTTAGGTTCCAACAACAAAAGACACAGCCTCTACAACGCACGGTAGAGATATTACTGATCCTATTCTTTTCCAGTGATTCCTCTTGCTCGTAAACCTCAGGTGAAATCTCGCCATTTTCAAACTTCTCTCTCAATTGGCGTGCATGTGGGGTATTGCGCGCGAGGCGAGGGAATAGAGCGGCATAGAAAACAAGAGTTGCGCCGTATGATACGAAACCGATGATGTAAAGAACCATCGCAAGGACCCATCGGTTCGGCGCTGCAAAAAAACGATTAGATGTCAAGAGAAACACGAAACAACCGAAAACGCACTGGTAAGGGCCATACAGGCATACTGTGCAGCCCAGCATACCACTGTGACAGCAAACAGTAACCACCGTCCGAAAGTGCCGTAATCGGCGGCAGAACCGATGGTAGTGAATATAGTTGTCATTATAGCGAAACTGATACCATTCGCGATCAGCACCACACTAGAAACTGACTTTGTGCCGCTACCCCAGGGAACCACACATTGGCCAGAAGCAGTTATTGCAAGACATGACGAGCCGGGGCCTGCGACAGGATCATATCCTGCTGCTGTGGCAAGCCCCTGGAACAGAGTTTGTGTATAGCCCAGAGGACCGACACCCTGATTGTGTGAAGCATAGATAAGCAGAGCGAGCCAATAATATTCGACCGACTCACATTATCACCATTATAGTACACTGACGTTAAAGCTTTGTCAGAGAATGACAAGGGACGATCATGTGTACCAGAACTCACGATAATAGCTCCACAACTCCCTTCTCGTCACGAGTGGTTCATCCTTGCTGATGGATGAGATAGCAATCTGGTTCAACGCATCCTGGCCAGACGATTCGTCTGACTTGATGTCCTCAGCCTGCACTACCTTATTCTGGAGGGCGCTGGGCAGGGATGGAGGTGACGTGGACATGGCCAGACCCGATATATCAGGTCAAGCGAAGAAGCGCTGTGAAGCTGGAGGGAGGTTAGTATTACGGCTGGGCGGTGAAAGGTGGACATGAAAAATAGGTGATTTTGTACCACATTTTACGTTTGGGCCCTTTGGGGGAACTTTCAACTAAATCACTCTTGAGCCGCTCCCACCCATGTCCAACTATTGGAGATTACTGTCATCTCGGATCCACATTTGAGCCAACGAGGTAAGTGTTACCACACCTGAGGCCCAGGGAGGCCTATCAAAGCTCTAATTAGGACGGGCGTGACTGAGGTCAGATGTGTTTATGTACATGTGCATGCTAGATTACTTTTGGTTAGACGTACCTTATAATATATATGGGAGCTTATCACAAGCTTGATGGTCACAAGGGCGGCCGGGTCTGTAAGTCGGTAGCTGCATCCCAGCGCTGACTTCTGAATCAAGCTTTGTTCCCTGAGAAAAGCTTGGAGCCTATCATCCATCATCTTTGCGGGGAGAGATATTAGATATCGGGGAATGCCTATCTTTCTTCGATTAGTCTAGCAGCAGAGATAGAGAACGTCTAAATTGAAGTCGTCTGCCCTAGGCAGACCATGATAATTAACAGAAGGGAGGGTGACTCGGTGATTAATAAGACACTCTTTTCAGGTGGCTGTGCATGCAATACCACTCTTTTTTGGACTACCATGAGCGCCGCTGAAGGCGTTTGAAACCCCTCAAGTGCAGCGTTGGCAAGCCGCGGATCTCTCACCAGCACTGAGAGGATCCGCCATTTTCTATCCGCATCGGTCGGGCACCGCAGTAGACGAAAGCCAAATCATGATGGTGCGTGTTGCTAATCCGAATTCGCATTCCTTTATTCCTGCGCAAAGACGAACCAAGCACTCCCAACAGCCTGGGGTTACTAGTTGTGCTGTGTTTCTGCTTTAGTCGCAGTAGCCGCCAGCAATTGACCCTTGCAGAGGCTGGATGACGGTTGTAATTTGCAATCGGAGCGCTCAATATTAAGTAGTATTATGCTTTTTGTCATCCCTATTAGCTCTACTTTGATTAAGTTACTGACGATTCGTATCATTTCCTCCAGGTGTGATTCAACAAATGGTCGATAGCTTCAAGCACTCCTTTTCATACTACGTTTTCTCTATGCTAGGGTGTCAAGACTCAAGCCATTGATCCCTACATAATATTTTTGGTAACATCTATAACCGTGCTCTGCGTCTGCCAGTAATTGTCCCAGGAGCTTCTGTTCCTCATCGTCCAAGTCCGCTACAAGCCCTTCAATCGGCCTAAAATATTTGATTTTCTGTTTACTCAACACCTGCTCCGCCACATGTATCCTCCATGCCTCCCAAACTCTTGTATCATTGGGGATCATGCACTCCAGGATTTTCTTCGGCTTGAAATCTGTAGACGATTTCCTCGACATGTCGACGCCTGCGTGCAAGATGAAGCATGTGCACGCCGCTTCCGATGTTCTGTTGGGGAGCGCAAATTTTGTGATTGATGGTTCATCGAGCCATTTCCACAGTATATCTGTCTGAATCTTCTCTTTCTCCAGTGATGACAGAAACGAATTATATGCCCAAGACACTGCAAGCGACGACAGGAACATAATCTGGCCGAATAGCGTTGCTCGAGGAACGAGGAGAAGTTGAATAAGAAACTGTGACAGGAGCAGCAAGGAGCAGATCCCGACGGCATTGAACTTTTCACCGTGAATACAACCCATGTCGAGAACGAGTTTGCCCTTGGTTATCGACACCACCTGCTTCTCTGCGCCCTTCAAGATGACAATATCATTACGCATCAAAAGAAATCCATCTCCCCGTGGTGCATATGACGAAGGTTCGACACGCTTGAAATGCAGCCTCCCCGAACCGATGACAAGGCAAGACAGGCCACTCGAGACCATGCCCAGAATGATCAGCCCAGATGCGAGCCAATCGTGAACAAATGCACAAGCGAGGCACGCTGCCAGACTGCTGGTGATGGGTATAGCAGCATACAGGGCATGAAAAACTTTCTTCCTTGGCACGTTGTCTCCCTGATGCCATTCCACGTTGTCGAGCTCTATGATGCTCACCGACCCTGGTGTAGTCTTTCTTCCCCCTAAATCAATCTTCTCCTCGGTATCTTTTACCTTTTGGGCTATAAGGTATGCGAGGTGTCCTGTGGGCGTCATATCTGTGCCCGAGAATGCCCCGATAAAGCGAGGTCCCTCCTTCCCATCCAGGCCAAACATCTCTTCAGGCGTTGGATTCGGTCCTGGAAAGATGCCGTCCCAGAGTCGAGATTTCGCCAACTGGCCAAATTTCTTAGCAACAGTATAGCTTCCAGGAGAGTTGTACCATCCGAGTAAATGCCTGCCCCGGTAGAGATGGACAGTTGACATGGCGGAGAGCGCTTCTTCTCCGCCGAAGAACCCCATGACACCAGAGGTATCAAGGGTGAAGGACGTCTTCTTAAGTGGTAAATTGATGGACATCATGGAACACTTGGGTGTTGCGTTTGTTGCACTGTATCGCCTAGAATTCCTCCAATCTTATATGTACCACACCTGCACAGCTCCCAGTGATGCCTTCAAAATTAACTTGGCCTACGACTCACGCGAACCCAATCGGAAATCTGCTTGATATATATACGTTTGTTTGCATTTCAATGATTGTCTGGCCTTAGGCCCGTCCAAATAATTTAAAATGATCCAAGAGAAAGCACTGTATGCTTTTCGTTGACTTTTCCGGCCGTTTCCCTGGCCTCTTTTACAGAAGAAATGACTGACTTCGCCTGCCACTATCCGTAGGCTCAGATATTGTAGAATAAAATGGAATATAAGAAAAAGAGACTAATAGATGAATTAGGGCGGCGACGCCGCTGTTCATTTGGATTGAATTTGCAAAGAGATGTTGTCCCTCGAGATAGCCAGTGCAAGTGGGCGCCCAGAGCGCCAATACTAAATATGGATTTGTATCGCAGGCGACCGATGCAAGATTTTGCTGCAACTGCAGGGATGCATCATTGCATGATCACCAATGCATCATCAGTACCGCGGCAGGCCCACCAGCTTTTTTTGAGTGCAGAGAACTATTTACAACTCTCAACATTTCCCGCTCCTCCTCTTAGCGCCAAATGTAGCCTACATACTCATAAAATGGCAGATAGTTTTCAGTTCTAACTATATCCTAGGAGCACAGGGCCGGCCGCTCATTCAGAATCGCATCAAGGGTCCGATGCAGTCATCCTGTTTGATGCATCACTATGACGCGAACCTGTGCCAGTCTAGTCCCTGTGGCCTCTCCCATTAATATCACACACAGGGACAACGCCAACGCCGATTAAGGCGTGGAATACCATGCAATTTGACACCAGGATGTGTGATGGGCATGTAAATATGTACTAGACGACAGCAATACGAGGTAGAACTACACACCAGTATGGATCCTCTGCTCGAGCGGCACTTTCGTCTTCACGACGTGCGCAGCACAGTCGAGTGCCCAGGCTGCCTTCGTACAGTCCATGAAACCACCTTTCTTCAGATCTCCAAACATATACCTGTAAAAAGCTTCGACGACGTGTTTTGCGACAGCATCGTCGACCTCCCACAGCGTGGTGGATCACTTCGTCGGGCGTCTCCTCATCGCCTGCAGCAGTATGACAAGCTGATAAGAATGCGAATTCGGCTTGCGGAATATGTCTTTCTATGACATCGAGCAGTGTCAGATTCATCTTTCATGACGAAATGCGAATCGTAAGGCTGCGTAGGATCCTGCTTCCCATGACAAGTAAGGTGCACCCATGTGTTCTACTGCAAAACTGAGAGTGCACCTGCTTGTGTGGCTGCGCCGCCAGAAATAGTGGTGCGGTTGGCCGTCGCAGGGACGAGCTTATGGACAAGCTCAAGCTCGCTGTCGACAGCTAAAAGTGCCTTGCCTTTCCCTGCACCGTGACCCGTTTGACCCTGTCCGATCGCCACAAAGGACGGAGGCATGCGCTTCTTCATCAACTGTCTAGATCTGATCAGAGCCGAAAGTGTCGGCGTGTAAGAGCAAATGTAGAGATCCTCCAGGCATGGCTCCTTCCCAGAACGATCCACCTTTGTTTGAAATGGATGAGCTGCAGTCGGACACAGCCAGATTCGAGAGCGGCGCTTTAGTTTGAGAACGTGCTCCAGTACGTCGACGATGGGTAGCATGATCTAGTCCCCATAATTTCCGCAAGAGCACTATGAGATCCGTCCTCGACTCCCCTGGGTTCATCCGAGACGAATGTCGTATTGCCCTGATGAAGCTATCCTTGAGAATCTTCAGTTCTGCGAGAGCGATGGACGGTAAAGGAACATGATGGAGGGTCTCCTGACATTGGGACAATGATGGCGCTGCACAAGCATTGACACGCAATGAGGATGATGACCGGGCCCGTATGGCACATGAGGCTGCATCTACAGGAAGTGACCGTGCATCACAAAAGGCGGTTGCAGCCTCACACTGCGAGGTGAACGATGATTGTGTCATCACGTGGCTGTCAAAATGTTCAAAGCACGTACGCTTCTAGGGCAGATTCATGTTCACAAACTTCTGCTTGGCGAGCCCACTCAATAACCTCCATGATGCGTTCCGGAAATCCTCGAGTAGGATGTCTTGATACAAGTCTGAAGTTCTCTATAGCGAGCGACGAATCAGCAGGGTCATGTAGAATCTGGTAACGAGGCTTCCTGTAGTCTGAAATATGAGTAGTATCTGTCTGGCTATGGTAAATCCAAAGCCTTTAATGATTGTTTGCAGAGAGTGATGGCCTCCTCGACATCTTCATTCTTCTGAGTTTGCGTGAAACGAGAGCAGAGCATTGAGCTCAGATTGATAAGAGTTGCATGGCGCCCTGGATGGTCAAGCCGCTTTAACCGAAGGGATTCGCGGAACAAATCAATGGCCTCGTTGAGATCCTCGCTACTGGTATTGAGCGTGAGGGCAAGGTTGTTAAGCGTGGTGTCATGATGTGGATGCCCAGGTGGGCGCAACGTCAGTGCCTCGCAATAGAGGCTGATAGCTCAGGTGATGTCATCAATGTCACCGCGTTTGTTGAAACAGGCGATGAGGGCCCACCCTAGGTCGTTTATTGAGGAATCACGATATTTGTGCCCAACAGGGCGCAGGCGCAGTGCTTCTTCGTGCAGAGAGATGGCCTCATTGAGGTCATTAGGTTTGCCTTGATGATTGTAGCGGGACACAAGTGAGACGGCCAAGTTGTCCAGGTAGTCAGCATGGACAGCATGTCCCTCGGGGCACAGAGACACGGCTTCACGACAAAGCTGTATGCTCGTGTCAAGATCATCGATGTTGCCGTGCTGATTAAAACATCCTTCAACTGCGTGCGCAAGCATGCCGAGGGCGCTGGAACGGAGTTGATGGCCCAGAGGACAGAGCTCGAGGACGACTCTTCGAAGATGGATGCCTTCATCGGATGCGTCTGTTGGAAGATTGTTGCATCCACCGATCACATAATCAACACCATTTTTCCCTGCTGCGATGCTACGAAGGTAGGTGCCATCTGGACAGAGAGGCAGTAGTTCATGATAGAGTTAGGCGGCTTCGCGGATGTCGGCAGCAGTACTTTCTTGTTGTGGCGCCAAGTCAGCACTTCGGTGAGATTATATAGAGATAATGGATGATATGGGTGGGGCTGCGGACGCAATGCAAGGGCGTTGCGGAAGAGGGAAGTGGTGACATCGATGTCTTGAAGATCATTTCGGATGTAGCCTTTGAGGCGGGCCCACGCAAGGTTGGTGAGAGCCGTTGCATGGTCTGGATGGCTGACCGGACACTGGTCCAGAACCAACTGAAAATGCTCTACAGCGTCGTTCAGGTGAGAGACTGTCTTGCTCGTCACGTATGCGGCAAATTGTACGTGGCCCGCATCTGTGTCTCGAGCAATCTCGCAGTCTAAGAGGGACTGCAGTTTGCGTTCTGTCAGCAAAATACATCAGAACAGATACCAGCGTCACTCACATCGAACAGTGCGTCGTCCTGATAGTTGCAAGCATGTACAATGGTGGCCTTCAGCTTGAGGGAAGGGTAGACACCGCGCACGGGTGGGGGGGATAAATCTACGAGACGTTAGTGTATGTGTATGAACGAGAAGCGAATCACTCACCAAATGGCTCATCTCCATGATCGAGTAGCCCATTCCACGACATTTGAAGGCCTCCAACGACCTCACCACCGCCTAGCATTCGACCAAGCTCACAGGATGCCCTGATCTCCACTGACAACGCAGGTAAGGAGTGTGATGATCTATAGACAGATAATCAATTCTTGCATTGCGTCTGAAAATCTGCATGGAATTTACAAAGTCATAATATTCCCCCACGCTACAGATTTATTAGATGATGAGACGCTGATGGCTGATTTCCGGCGCCTCTGGGAGTCGACTTTGACGGATATGTAGATGCCAGCGGGAATGTGCTTGGAAGGAACTTGAATATTCTTTCCGTTGATGACTGTAGATAGAGTGAGGATGATAAAACAGATGCGAAGGCAATATGGAGGAACTCACCTTCAAGTCTGATATTTCGGCTTTCTGAGCTATCAGGCATAATGGTGCGATGGAGTTATGGACGGAATCTGCGAGAAGGGAAGACGGGGGTAAGGATATGGGGACTGGGTAGAGTTCAGCTGAGAGAAAGGTTGAGGGTTCAGTTCATACTACACGTGTATTACCATGTTGTCTAGGGCTGCTCGGCACGATATAGACCCTGGTATAATTGCACTATAAGCGCTGGTAATGGAGATCACCGACCAGGATTAGCGGAACAATTTAATGTAGACAACGTCGTGACCGGTCTTCAGCGAAAGTGGCCAGCCGAGGTCGAAGGGGGCGAGTCTCAAAGTGATTGGACTTGTATGGTACTACTCAGTCAGCACATCAACGCCAAATGTAGAATCGAATGTATTTCGTATAGTAATGCGCACAATGAGAAAACCACTGAAAACGGCACGCTAAGAAGAACCGAATGATTCTATACGACTCGTCCGATTGAGCCGATAGTGCCATGGAGGGGAGGAATAATCTTGCCTGGCCAGAGAACTAGAAAAAGATTGTCAACTTGAAAAGCAAGGATGCAACCAATTGTATGCTTATTCGGTGAAGAGCAATTGATGAATGTTCAGGAAGCTGTGACCGCTGCCGGCTTGAAGGTGAGGGGAATATATTAATGGCATTTTGACCGAGGACATGCATGGACTTCGACGAGGGAGAGATGTAATGTACACCGGGGAATCATCAAATAGATGGACATCGACTCGTGGTTCCTTGAGGTGGCCACCTAACTGCACTTCCTCAGCTAGAGTTGCAGGAATTCAAATTTCTATTTCAGTACAACTCCCGTGACCGTGTTGCTCATGTGACGCAACTGCCACCGACATCAACGACTCAACGTTTTGAAACACCACTGAACTCGTTCCTTTCCTTCACATAAAAGGCATGTCTGGATTGCATTGTTTGAATGGACTGGCCATGGATGCTTCAAAGGAACAAGTCCGTGCCACTGATCCACAATATCGGAATGACCTCGTTCGTCACATCCAGTATGGTAGCCGTGGTCGTCCGAGTCAGCATATCGAGTTGATCCGTTCCCTCATACTTACAAACTCCCAAGGGATTTCAAGCTACTTGGAACGAGCGCGCATCACTATCGAACATGATAGAGATTGCAGTTGGCATGAAGGTTAAGGCAACCTTCAACGTCGAAACAGATCTGGACATTGCAAATGAGGCAAGAGAATTACCCAATGTGTCGCACATATGTATTTCAGTTGAACTCGGAGTAAGTCAGAGAGCGAAAAGGAGGCTGTTACAGCTGTTTGGCTCTTTCGCACGATCGTATTGTTGTGGAGACCTTGTACATGTGAGCAGCCTACTCCACCGCTTCCTTGACCCTCTAAACGCCAGATGCTAGCGCGCGCACACGAAATGGCAAATACCTTTCAGTTCTAACTATATCACAGGAGCACAGGACCGGCCGCTCATTCAGAATCGCATCACGGGTCCGATACAGTTGTCCTGTTTGATGGCATCATCATGACACGAACGTATGCCGATGTATTCCCTGATAGAGCTGTTTAATCTAGTTCCGTGGACCTCTCCCATTAATATACACAGGAACAACGCCATGGCCGATTCAGGCGTGGAATGTCATGTAATTTGATATCAGGATGTGATGGGCGTTTCGTACCTCCCTCCAGTTTCATAGCGCTTCTTCGCTTGACCTGATATATCATATATCGGGTCTGATCATGTCTACGTCACCTCCATCCCTGCCCAGCCCCCTCCACAATGAGATAGTACAGGCTGAGGACATCAAATCAGACGAATCGTCCGATCAGGACGCGAACAAGATTGCTATCTTATCCATCAGCAATGATGAACCGCTCGTGACGAGAAGGGAGTTGTGGAGCTATTATCGTGAGTTCTGGTACACATGTATCGTCCCTTATCATTCTCCGACAAAGCTCAACGCCAGTGTACTGTAATGGTGACAATGTGAGTCGGTCGAATATTATTAGCCCGCTCTGCTTATCTATGCTTCACACAATCAGGGTGTCGGTCCTCTGGGCTATACACAAACTCTGTTCCAGGGGCTTGCCACAGCAGCAGGATATGATCCCGTCGCAGGCCCCGGCTCGTCATGTCTTGCAACAACTGCTTCTGGCCAATGTGTAGTTCCCTGGGGTAGCGGCACAAAGTCAGTTTCTAGTGTGGTGCTGATTGCGAATGGCATCAGTTTCGCTATAATGACAGCCATATTCACTACCATCGGTTCTGCCGCCGATTACGGCACGTTCGGACGGTGGTTACTGTTTGCTGTCACAGTGGTATGCTGGGCTGCACAGTATGCCTGTATGGCCCTTACCAGTGCGTTTCCGGGCATCTTGTGTTTCCCGCGATGTCTGATCGTTTTGTGCAGCGCCGAACCGATGGTCCCTTGCGATGGTTCTTTACATCATCGGTTTCGTATCATACGGCGCAACTCTTGTCTTCTTTGTCGCTCTATTCCCTCGCCTCGCGCGCAATACCCCGCACGCACGTCAATTGAGAGAGAAGTTTGAAAACGGCGAGATTTCTACTGAAGTTTACGAGCAAGAGGAATCTCTGGAAAAGAATAGGATCAGTAATATTTCTACCGTGCGCTGTAGGGGCTGTGTCTATTGTTGTCGGAAGCTAACGATAGTTCGATATAGGCTCATAGTAATGTCGGGTATGTAGCTACCTTATTACTGAACTTAACGCTTTTGTTGCCGATGACGAACAACCCCAAGGTGGACAATTATGTCCTCGTGCTGTAAGCTTCTTTTCAATCAAATATTTGAGGTGCTGTATTGATTGACGTGTAGCGTCAACACGTACTGGGTGGCACTTGGTATCTGGTGGTGTGAGTATATTGTAGCTCGTCTTTAGTAGGCTTCTTACTGAGAACTCTCGAGTTATCCTCCAGGAGCCTAGGCCAGGCCCTAGTTTACCTGAAGGCGAACACTACACGACGATTGGGTGGAAGCAGGTGAGTATTTAGTAAAATATTCCTGAGAAATCGACTCACGCGAACATCAGATCTGGGCTGCGCTGAAGACATACAAGCATCTTCCCTACACCTTTATGTACCTGTTCTCTTTTTTCCTTCTCGCAGATGTATGTTTGGTTGTCTGTCTCTTGAGCCATGCCTGACACGGACGTCTTGGACAGGGACTGAATACCACCGGAACTCTCGTCAGCATCTGCCAGAACAACAAGTTCAGTTTCTCGTTCCTGCAAAATACGTACTTGGGCTTGTCACAGGCGATTACCTCGACTATCAGTACTCTCGCCTTCTGGTACATCCAGAGATATTGGAAGATCAGCACGAAGAAGATGGTGTGTAGCGTCAGCGTTTCACGTACTCGTTTATCTGACTGCCAACGGCACAGTTTGTGGTGACTAATGTTGTTACTATTTTGATTCCGCTGTGGGGTATGATCGGAATATGGACAGAAAGACTTGGGTCGGTGTTATTCGACTTGTTTGTTCTATCCATCGTCCCTCTAACATATATATCAGATTCCATAATGTCTGGGAGTTCTGGTTCGTCAAGAATCTAACTTCTCTATCTGGTTTTCATATCCTTCTCAGGGCATGCAACATCGTGTTCGGCCTTTTCCAGGCGCCCTACTACGCGTTCTCCCAGACGATGATGGCCGAGCTTAGTCCGCCCGGTTTTGATAACATGGTGTGTATCTTGGCTTTATCGTGCTTCCTATCACATTGCGTTCGGCTTACATTGGCCAGTTCTTCGGTCTGTTCGGTCTGTCCAACCGCGCTTCTTCTATGGTAGGACCCAATGTGATACAGGCCATCATCGACAAGACGGGGAACAACTGGCAGGGGTTCCCGTTCCTGTTTGCGTTGTGCACGGCTGCTTCGATGGTGATCTGGTTCGGGGTTGATGTCACGAAGGGGACGTAGGGATGCTGTGAAGTGGGCGGCTGAGCAGCGCAGCCACACACGCTAGAACGATTTATATATATGCTCTTTGTGTGGCTTCGGGCATTTCTGATATATCCATCATATGTGTCGGGATGCAACATTGACCAAGGTGCAGATAGAAGAGGTAGAATCATGTCATATCCACCAAAGTCAAAACTATATAAAGGGTAGATGCCCGGGCCGATTCTAATACATAGTACCGTGAGTCCGTGACCAGTACTACGAGTCATACACACAACGCTGCCGCCGCGCTCAGCTGCAGCATTAACGAGACTTAAGAAGGCTCAGATTGGATCAGGCAAGTTCCGAACATTGACGAAGTGTAAAGCCATGGCGTAAGTCCAATGAGGAACTTCTAATTTGCTACCACCTCGAGAGTCGACTGCGCCGAACGCTTAACGAACCAGATGACATCTCCAAGTTTTGCATTCGTCCCCCGAAATATTTCCAAGGGTGGGAAACAGCAAGGCACTTGCGCTCACGTACCCTCGTCAGAGTCGTCACATAGTTTGAAACCGACACCCGCCATCGAAAGAAAATCGGCGTACCCAGGATCGTCCGGAAGCGACAAAGGAAAACAGAAAGTTTCTGAACCGCCGGCGAAACCAGTCTACAATGAGAAGGATATATCCGTCCTTGCTGTTCTCGCATTTTCGGACTATGCCCTTTGGCTTGACTCAGATCTCAGGAGGAAAACCGAAGAGTCTCTTCAGGGCGAGGAGCAAGATGCTGGATGTATGTTTCCGTTTCTTCCGTGCGCGTATCAGGCAGGGTTTATGTGTCCACGCAGTTTTACCTCTCAGCTACCTGATGCGTCGTGCTTTTGGTAGAGAGAACTTGGGTCAAGATTATATGCCGACTGAAGCAAACGTAGTAAAGGCGATTCGGGCATACGCTGGCGACGTGCTGGAGGTTAGAATGCTTGTGTCCGCCCCATCTGCGTCTGGGTGGTACCCTTCCTGGAAGCCGGAGAGGGGTTCAGTTGGTGGTTATGAAGTACGCAGGAAGGATTGGACAACATTATTGGATAACGCGACTCGTGAATTCACTCGGGGTCAGTGGGACGACCGCACTATTTACATGGTAGGTGCATCTCTTTGGTAGAAGACCAAAATCTAACGATCGTAGGAAAACATCCCCGCACAATATCACACAATACCTGGTATCATCCGATTTGCGCAAGGGCTACTGTCTCACTCAAGTTGTCTGGTTCCAATCCAAAATGTCATACTTCCTCCGCACCACTTGGATAAAGCTGAGGACCGTCCAAAATGTAAAGGCTTCGCTCTCGTTACACTGGGTAATGCAGAGTTGTGTCGGATGTTTCTTGAATCGTGGCCTTGGACGCGGTTATTCCAACCCGAATCAGACGACTTTGATCTCGCTGAAGGTAACTTGGATACAAAGGAAGCCTCGAAGTTCGGGTTTCGCACTTTACCAAAAGCGCGCTGGGATAAATTGAACGAGGAGTATCTTGCTTACCGCCAGAAATTGATTAGCGAGCTAGCGGATGCCAACGAACCCCCAGATATCTCACCCGATTCTGATGTACGAGACGTTGTTGACGACGTTTTGGAAGACACCCCTGCTCCGCCTAGGAACGTGACAACTATGTATTCACCGTACCCCTTCGGCTGTCTCGTCTTTGCCAGAAATCTGCATCTCGAAACAAATAAGACTACTCTCCGAGCGCTATTCTGTACCGCATTCGAGTCGTCTCTTGTAGATCCCGCCGGTATCGATTACGTCGATTTCAACAAAGGAATGGACTCCGTAAGTCTTGGATCTTTTATGAGTATCACACTCTCACAGCATCGTTAGTGCTATCTTCGGCTTGCCTCGCCTGAACACGGACGTGTTTTAGTCGACCGCTTCTCTAGTCACCCCGTCGTACAGTCCCATGGCCTTGATGGCATAGGCAAGACTCCTGAAGCGTCCCAGAAGGCCATCGCGACGGAGATCATCGAAGGCAAAAAGGAGGAAGTCTATTGGGAGAAAGTCCCAGAGAAAGTCAGACGACAGGCTGTGGAGAAAGCAGTGAAGGCTCTTAATGGCAAGCAGTCATCGACTTCCGTACACACTGCGCCTGAGCACTCTGAAGAAAGCAGGCCGCGGAAAAAGAGAAATCGCGGCTAATTACAGAATTTACGATTCTTCGACATTACCAGCCCAGGCTGTGTCTATGATGGCCTGGTACATGACTTACGCCCTCAGTGCAACGCGTTATTACGCGACGGTTTACTATTATTACATGTGAAGATACGCCTAGAGGCTACTATAGAGACGAACATTACAAAACTGGCATTACAAGTAACTCGCGATCTCTTGCATAGTGAGTCTATCGTGCATGTTTGTACACCAACACCTCTCCAACAGGGCCCAAAGCGCGTCATCCAAGCCTCGTTCCACAGCGATTGGATTCATGGGTCGAGGTGGAGTTTCGCCCTGACAAACCTTGAGGATGACTTGAGTTGCAAGGCGAATCGACGCCCAAGGTTCTTCATGAGTCATAAGCTGCGAATGTGGTTCAAAATCTGGCTGATCAACCAAACGTGATAGAAGTACCTCGAGCACGGTCATACTGAAGGCGTAGACGTCGGACGCCATCGTACGTTTTCCTCCGCTCCTGCACAGCTCAGCAGGACACCATCTCAGAGACTCCTGGTTAAGAGTGCTGCCATTGCTGACGTCGAAGTAGCTCATAATCTCCTCTTCGAGCTATATTGCTCGGATGAGTCAGAGCGCAATGATCGACATGAGAAGGCACGTCACCCTTGTGAAACCGAAGTTGGCAAGCAGTGGCCTGCCATCTGGGCTGATGGCGATGTTGACCTACGATGAAGTAAAGATCCTATAATTAGCGATTGTCAGCATGACTCACCCCTTTGATGTCGCCGTGAACGACAGACATGCTGTGCAATAATTTGATGCCCTCAACAATGCCTTTCAACTACGAGATCAGGTCAAAATGCTGTTTTCCTCGATGAAAAGTAAGGTACATACCATATATCGGTGGTCAACTTCGGGGTGTTGATTCACGTAGTCTTTCAAGGTCCCATTGGATATCCAAGGGCTTACGGTGTAACTGCTCTGTTGTTAGAAACGAAGATGAGGTCCTGAGGAAGGAGAGACCCACGGATATTCCCCGTCAGTCTGACAGAAACCGTATATCGTAAGGATGTGTTCTCCTTTGTCCACTTCGAACACTCTTCTCCAAATCTCTGCCTCTGTCTTGAACCTCTGCAAACCAATTGATTGAGCGCCTACGACGACGACGACGACATTGAAATAATGTACCTTGAGTGTCTTGGGTGTAGCATAGACTGCGCGCAGGACTCTGATGGCAACCTTCTCCTCGTTAAGGTAGCATCCTTCCCAGACATCGGTCCGACTCGTCCCATTCACCGCATGGTTACTGGTACGCCTCACTTCCCCGCGTTGCAGGTTCATATTCGGAAGTAAACTTCTGGAATCTTGGAGAAGATTGTACAAGTTACTTTCCAGACCGTGTTCAGGTGTTGCAGAGAAGTGGACCGGAAGATTCTGTCAATGGAAATTAAATGAAGGGTTTGGCAAGAGACTGGTGGATGTGGTACCAACTTCTTGCATCACTTTCAAGATCTGGTTTACGACGGCGGTTTGTTGCAGCTGGTCACTCAAGAGAATCTCCTGTTTGTTTTTGAGGTCCCCGAGATAGTGGATCATATATTCGTTGTCGATCCTTTGGTTGTCTTCGAAGGCAGACTGCCATTTGTGGATCTCGAGGTGCGAGGTTATCTGGTCAAATAAGTAGATGAATTATAGACGATAGCTGAGGAATAGACACTTGACATACCTGTAACTTGTTCAAGCAATCAGATATCTCAAGATGACATTGTTGAATGACTCCGGTGAGTTCATCCTGTTTGATGAATAGTTTGATTCGAGACATCAAGCACCATGGAGTCATTCTGTCGAGGATGCCTTGGATGGTGCTGGCCAGGTTATCAGCTGCCTTTCAGACAATAACATCTGCGCGCTACCAACCTTTGTGCGCCTGAGCAAAGCGTGGTTTGGTCATCCGGCGCCATGCTTTTGCCTTCATTCTTGATGATAGCCAGAAAACTGAGGCAGCGTTCCTCGAGTTGTCGTATACCATTTCTGTCACAACCGCCGTCGTGGTCAGTGGGAAGAACAGCGTAGCAAAGTGGTAGATACCTGTTGGACTCTGCTTTAGCCAGCAGGTTGATGAGGGTGGTTAGAGCACCGAATGCTGGACCCAGCCATGGAGCTGGAGTGGACTGCGTTGCCTGAGAAAGCGCTGAAGCGGGATTAATGTGGAAGGAGGAAGCAAAAGTGGCCATGATTGTTGGTCAATAGAATGCTTGAAGTCATCGGTCGTATATAGGCTGAGAGCGCGTTGGAGGCTGGGTAGTGAATTACTAGTAATCAGTGCAGTTTGCATACGAGAACTTCTGTGGGGAATTTACCGGGACCTGTTGACCCACAGCCTGCCAACTAGGTTCGAGGGCACTGTCGATGAGTACTTGGTTTCAGAGGAAGATATCTATAGAACTTGTCTGTAGAAGAAATAAATGTCCAGCCCTAGCATTGCGTCTGAGGGAAGCCAGGAACGTGTCACTTATCGCGTTGAAGCTGAAGCGCTGAATGACAACCCTTGTAAGATGCTATCATTTCGCCAAGCACGCCTAGCTCTCACGAATACGTATACCGCCAGACGAAAAGCAACCCTTACAAACAGCAAGCGTAAACACATGCGGTAAAATTACGTCATGATACAATCGGCATGGATGGAAGGAACCTACATACTAACGTTCCTTCTTACAAGTCGGTTCAGGGAAGACTACTATCTTTCCCCTTCCGCACGAAGTCTGTCCCGTACGCGTATCAAGGCCTTTCCAAGTTCGTTGGCGCCATCACCTGAAGGACCATGACCCCAGTACGCGTCATTGGCATCGGCATACACAATATCAGCAAGGCCTGTGCGTAAAAGCAATGTCCGAAGGCTAGGATGTTGCTTGAACTTTATATACAGCACATCTTCCATCTGGAAATGCAAAAATAAAAATAGTCAGGGAAAGTTGATCCGATTGGAATGCCAATGAAAATAATCTCACAGTCCTCAAGAATACCTGGCCCCAATCTGGTCGCACGTGGTCCTGAAAACTGGCCGACAACGGGTACATGTCACCAACATCGGTGCACTTTCGTATACGCTCCTGAAGCTTAGGGTGTTCCGTGAACTTCATCGCCTCAAGGAGGTGCATCGCCGTTGGGTACATTTTGTTTTTGTACATCACTCGGTGTTGTGAGTGATTTACAAATCCGGATAGTTCACCCGTATGGTCAAACTTGACAGGTGGTCCGCGATCGGGAACTGGCATAGCTTGCGGTGGGACTCCACTTCCAGTGTATGGGTTTACCCTATCGGGCATGATTGCAGTTGGTGGTATAACGAATGATGTCACGGTATTGGAACGATGATGATGACCACCAGATTCGCCATCGCCCCCCGATGTGCTGAAAGTGCGAAAGAGTCCCTGTCGTGATTTACCCTTGCGCTTACTACTAGAGCCAAATAGCTTTCCTAGACGCGATATTGGACCTCCTGGTTGAGCCAGCATGTCTTCCATTTCTTCCATGTGTTCGACGTTGAAGGAGAGGGTTATGTCCTTTGGGAGTTCCTGTAAAACTTGACGATATGGAGTGGTATCCCATATGTCTCTAGGAGGAGAGGGAAGGGGATTTTGTCGCGTTGGCATTCGCATGGGAGGGACAGTCGGCGGCCTGAATGGTACATCACTTAAATAAGGTTCGGGCATGGAAATGGGATGATCAGCTGGTTGGTAGAAGTCGGTGAATCTTGGACGAGATGACGAGTTAGCTGTACGCTGTGCGTCAGTCAAGACGGGGGGAGCAGGAACAACCGGATCTCCTGGTCGACCAGTCATATCGGGGATGACGGGGCCTGGAGTCGCCCGATTGCCTACATGTGGCTCGGGCATGCGCGCAGTAGGTTGTGGGTGAGATGAGTAATACGAGTCATTTATGATAGGAGGGGGAGGAAAAGCTGTGTCGCGTTGGGGTTGCACGTTAGTTATGACAGGGGGTGGAGGAACAACGGGATCTCGTCGACCAGTTATATTGGGCATCACAGGGCCTTGATTGTTTGTAGCTATATATGACTCTGGCATCCGTACTTGCTCTGCAGGGGGGATAACTGGTACAGGTGGCTGACCAGCTGCGTTTTGAAAAGCAGCGACCGGAACATATGGCTGCGGCATAACCAGAGGCTGCTGCATAGGAACCATGGCCACCGGATAATACCCACTAATTTGTGGATACCCAGATTGTACCTGTGGGTCTTTTCATCCGGCACTGTTAGGAAAACGCTACTCTCACAAGTGACTGCCACGCACAATACTGGAACCCATGACTCGGATATGCAGCAGTCGGATATCCATTTGAATATTGCTGGTATAGTTCTGGGTGTGCCTTCTCCTTGCCCTTCTTCGTCCTGACTGAGGACCAAGTTGTTGTTTGCATTCCGTTAGAGTTAACGATTGGAACTGGAAATGGATAGGGTCTATGCTTTGAGGGTCCAGTGCCCATGTTGGTGGCGATGTCGCTGATATGTGATTATGTATAAACACGAGTTCGAAGGAATACTAGAAGCACTAGCGCAAGGCAAATAAGTCAGGGTTGGACTGTGATCATGAAGAAGATACGAGGTCGAAATATTACTGGTGTGAGACTTGCGCGAGACAACACGTTGATATGGTATGATTGGAAGCTTGCATATAGTACGTACAACTTCAAGTTGAAACGGTTGAAAAGTCAATGAAGTCCTTGTCAAAATTTGGACATAGCATAATGAATTCAGAACTAAAGTAATTTTGCAATCGGTAGCTAGAGCTACAATGGATGTACAAGTAAACTATATCAGTCGTAACGAGATCCTCTGCGTCGCGGTGGGCTCCTTGACCGCGAACCTGATGGTGACCGTTTGCCACCCCTACCACCCCAGCCGCCACCTCGGTGAGGTGGTGAATCACGCCTTGGTGGCAGACGTCTCTCAGAATCTCTGTTGCGGTCAAAGTCGCGATCTCTTCCAGCAAAGTCTCCACCCCTTCCAGCACCACCACCACCTCTTCCTCGTGGACCACTGGGAGGAGCAGGGTTGGAGTCCCCCCGCCAATGACCCCCACCTCGGCCAGCAGGTGCTGCTGCTCCCCAACCTGCATCACTCTGCCGTGCTGCTGGTACGGATCTCCAGCCGTTTTGGACTGGAATCTTGACAGTGCTCTCGACCTGGGTGGCTGCAGCTACTGCAGCCGCGGCGGCTTTTGGAAGGATAATACAGACGCAAAGATAGTCTCCTGGCACAAATCGAAGTTCATCAAGCGTCCTCTCCTCTTTTTCCCGCTCTGTCTGCTCTCTGGATTCGCCATCCATGTCGCTGAGCAGGCGTGCCGCGGGGCTGTCAAGAGTACCTGGTTCGCCCAGAATATCACGAGAATACACCATACCAAGCTCTTTCTGTGCAAAGCGTCCCCTGTTTGCTGCGTCTGCGTATATAGCACGGAAGGAATAACGAGCCAAAGGGTGGCGAAATTCTGGTATTTGGGGTGCAGCGTTTCGGAGAGTCGTCAGTACTTCACGCAAGGTGGCATCTTTCCTAGTCATGGGATCAAAAGTGAGTTAGAACAAATACACATGCATGCTTACCAGGTGTAAATCTGTTGTTCGTCTGTGGTTGGCAGAGTGTTCTCCTCGAACAAAGTCAGCCTATGGAATGATCCAACCTTTACAAAAGTTCGGATGAGGAATGGGGCCGTCTAGTAGAGAAAAATAACTGAGGATTAACCGACAAGCTATCAAAGATTTTAAATCACCTTCTCCCTTGAGACGATAGGCTGTCCCGCCGGGGTAGTAGTCTCCATGTCGGCCATTTTATATTGAGACGGTCAGATGGACTTGACACAGTGCTGTTTGCTTATATAATAGTTACCATTTGAGCCTAATGCCAAACATAGCCAAACCACGCCGTCACTGCTCACACCTTATCGACATGAGAAATTTGCAATTGAGCCACGAATCTGCCACCTAAAATCCTGCAGTGATGAACTAGCCATTCCATCAACCGGAAGATTCATCTGCCACATCTTTCAAATTGCAGGTTAGTACAAGCTCGATAACGACTATACATAGCAACTCAACTTGTCCAATTCAGACCCAAACTTACAGAAACACGTGGCTACTTTAAAGCTCAGAATGCTCAAGTCCGGTGTCATGTGGGGGGAAGATATGTATAGCGGGGCATAATCTCATGGCAATCCCTGTCGTTGAGATAACGATTTGAAGTCTTTGTCATATGTATCAGCAGTGGCGTATACGTTGGATCACTCCTAATCGGCTCGCAAAGGAAGTCGTTCACTGACTCGGAAGTTCATGTGATCACACAGGGCTGACCCGCGGCATTTAAAGAGAACGTCAGAGCACTCTTGTCTCTCATACCCTTCCACTACCACCATGGCCAGTGGTTATGAACTCCTGAAGGGCGGAGATGACAACGAAGTCAAGTCACCCAAGCCGTATCGTACCATACGTCGTGTCGCGATCGGTCTCGTAACATGTTTGGCGTTGGTAACGCTTTCTTTTCTGCATGTTCATCCTCTATCAGGAGATCTGGGAGCACAAGATCAATATGACGGAGACTCCGTGAGGACTTGTGCTTCACCCATGCCCCCTACTGCCCGTCCCCCAGCCCCGATCAATCCATGGGCCTCTCTCACCATTGAGCAGACCGTTCAGATCCAGAAGTGGTTGGAGGAGCCTGGTCGGGCTCTTAACCTGACGCGCGGGGCTATATCAAAGCCTTCAGACAATCACATATTCATGATAGAAGCGTACTACCCGGCTAAAGCCAGCGTCCTAAGTTACTTCTCGTCGCTATCCTCATCAGACATCCCGGAAAAGTATGCACGGGTCACAATTCACCACGGTTCTGCACCGGAACCTGTTGTAAAGGATTATCTTGTTGGACCGCTTCCTATTGGACCATCTACTCGCATGGAGCATCTGACGGAGGTATATCATCTCGACGCTATTCCGCACAATGCACGTGGCTTTGATACCCGTGACTGGACTTCCCCGGAAATTTTTGAGAAGATGGCGGCCCCTTTAATGGAAGCATACAAGGTCATTTGTGCCATCTTATTTCTGTACATGCTACTTACAGGGAGGTCGGTTTTCAGGAACTTCTGGGCGGAACGCCCCAGGATACCCTTACGACGGCCGGAAGTGGGCCGTTCAGCTCTGACGGTTCATTCAGACGTCTGTGGCTTAGTTGGCGACGCAACACGCCCGGCTTCTTCTTACACCCACTCAACTTATATCAGTACGTTGATCTCAGCGGTACCGATTCCTCTCAATGGCATCAGTTAAAGGTATGTTCTCAAATATAACCTCACCGAGACTTCATGCGCTCAAACTGGTCTTAGATTGTGTACAACCACCAAGTCTTTAGTTCCCCAGAATCTTTCATGGAAGCATTCCACAACGGCAGCCTTAAACGTGTCCCTGTCATCGACCCTGACACCGATCTGTCGTACAGTACTCGTAAGCGTATCGGAGCCCAACGTGATCTCGACCATCTTCCTGGACCTCGTTCGGTGTCGTTTGCAGGTCTAAGGTTCCGAGTGGATCGTGATCTTCAGTATGTTAGTTGGATGGGCTGGGGCTTGTACCTTGGTTTCGACAGAGACATGGGCTTGAGCTTATGGGACATCAGGTTCCGTGGTGAACGGATTGTTTATGAGGTAGGATGCATTCGACGTAGCCATCCATTCATACAATCTCATGATTCCTGCATAGCTCAAGCCACAGGAAGCTCTTGCACAGTATGGTGGGTGATCTAACGCTGGTTTCTGTACTTCAGTTCATCTGATATAGTTCTCTAGCGGGTAATGATCCATTCCAGGCAACGACTGCTTGGCTCGATCGCTACTTCGGCATGGGGCAGTCTGTCCGTGACATGTTGCCAGGATATGATTGTCCACATGAGGCCGTGTATCTGCCAGCGACCACTTACTCGGTGAATGGATTAACCACACAACAGCGTGCAATTTGCATCTTCGAGCATGATAGCGGACGACCTCTTACGAGACATCTTGGTTACGAAGAAAATGAGTTTGGGGCAGTCAAAGGCTATGAACTTGTGATCAGAAGTATTGCTACGGTCGGAAAGTGTGTGATTTTTTCTGTCTGTGGGATGATGCTGAAACTTGAACCCTAGTTATGATTACTGTACGTGCAGAGTTTCGCCATCTTCGTGATGTTGACTGGATTCTGTATTATTTCCTGTAGTGGTGAGTGATAAACTAAATGCTATTTTCCCAACTGATCCGATCATTTGTGTGTAGTTTGACTATATCTTCCATCTTGACGGAACCATCGAGGTCCGCGTCTCCGCCTCCGGCTATCTGCAAGCTGGTTTCTACGATAAAGCACAAGGGCAATATGGAAATCGAATCTGGGAAACCAGCAGTTTGTATTTCCACCCGTCCCTTATATTGATCTAACACGGTATCAGTGGGTAGTCTGCATGACCACGTGATCAACTATAAGGTCAACAGCCTCCCCTGCGATAAATTTATAGTGTTGATGATCCATTACAGGTTGACCTTGATGTGGCGGGTAGCAGCAAACTCGTTGTTGAAGACTACATTGAGTCAAGAAGCAATTACCCAGCCTTGGTTCGAGGATGACTGGGGAGATGAAGTTATCCAGCAAGTTGTCACACGAGAATATATCGACGATGAGAACAATGCCTTGTTAAAATTTCCGACAAACTTCCAGGGCGGCTATGCAATCGTAAATCAAGAAGAGACCAACAAGTGGGGAATATCGAGAGGATATGCTATCCATCCGGGCTATTCTCCGATCCACAACGTACGTATATTATCGAGGATGTCATGACAAGGTCTGAATTCTGGATTTCAGACGGTCGTTGGTTCTAAGCGGCTCCTGAAGAACGCGAACTGGGCACGCTACAATCTGGCTGTCTCCCGTCGCAAGGAAACAGAACCCTCCTCGAGCAGTATGTGGAACTTCAATTTACCCGGTGGCCCTCCTGTCGACTTCCACAAGTTCTTTGATGGAGAGAATATTACACAAGAAGATCTAGTTGCCTGGGTGAACCTTGGCATGCATCATCTTGTTAGGTTGCTTGCTTAATGAGGTACTAATTATGAAGCCTCATTATTTTCATTTTTATAGCCTCAATCAGAAGACGCACCTAATACACGAACAAATACAGCGACATCAAGGTTGGTTTCGCTGACTCCTGCCATATGGAATAAGAGCTTATTAACGGTCTATTAGCTTCTTCTTGACGCCTCTTAACTACTTCGACCACGACGTATCTATCGAGTCGACCAATGCTGTCCTCCTGAAGAACCCAGAAAAGCCTGGCGACCCCTTCACATATGACGACTATGGTGTTCAGCCCGCTCACTGCCTGCCGGAACACCCGTCACCTTTCGAGTACCATCCGGCGAAGATGTTCGACCTAGATGGGATGCCTGCACCTGCTTCGTCAATTGAAGACATGCGCAAGGCCTCGGAGTTATATCATCGTATCAAACTTGAGTTGTAAAGCCTTATCGGAGATGGGAAGGTGGCGTAGTGATCAGGTAGCTAATAATGTGACTTCTTGCAACATGTGTATCAGTCTGTCCACGAGCCTATGAACAAAAGGAGGTTCAGTTCCTGATCCGTCTTTCATCTTAAACTGACTCCGCGTTTAGCAGTGGGTAGGCGCGTGATAGTGCACATGAGATTTGTATATTTACGTTTTAACGTCTTGTTCGGTCACACGTGTACCTCTTCATCTGTCCGCCAGCATGCCCAGAAGATACGAGCAGCTAAAAACTGCATCCTTGGACGAACCCAAGCGTGAATCAACACGAGCACCGAACAGGATCACCTCTCTTCGCCTTGGCCTTTCATTCATCCTCATCCTTGTACTGGCTTCGCTGACCGTCATCCAGATCAGACCCTCTACCTCCAAAATTATTTTCGGGGGCTCCGAGACACTTGCTGACTATGATGAAGATATCAAGATCTGTGCATCTAATATTCCGCCTCCTGCTCGCCCTCCAGCTCCAATCAACCCATGGGCCTCTCTTACCATCGATGAAATGGTGGAAATTCAAAATTGGCTCCTGAGCACCCAAATGAACCTAAACCTCACGCGAGGAGATACAGCTCGGCCGTCCGATAACTCCATCTATATGATACAGACATACTATCCTCCCAAGGCTGATGTCCTCGAGTACTTCTCGTCTTTGGATCCTCGTGACGCACCTGCAAGGTTTGCTCGGGTTACCATTCACCATGGTGGGGCCGTGGAGCCCGTGATTAGAGATTATCTCGTCGGGCCGCTCCCAGTCACGCCAGCCACAGAGATGACGCATTTGGCAAATATTTATCATACCGAAACTCTTCCCTACAACGCAAGAGGATATGATGCCCTTGACTGGAATTTGCCCGAAATCCACACCAAGATAGCAGCTCCGCTGATGGATGCGTACAAGGCGAGTCGTTTTGATCATCTGGCTTGCCCTAGTCTTCCTTATACTTTCTCAGGAACTTCTAGGTGGTTTGCCCAATGGTACTATTGTTGCCGGAGGTGCTGGGCCGTTCGGTTTCGACGGATCAGTTCAGGCGCTTCTGGTTGAACTGGCAAAGAGACACGCCCGGATTCTGGTTGCATCCACTGAATCTTTGGCAATATGTCGACGTCAGTGGTACTGATACTTCGAAATGGGACCAGCTAAAGGTAAATCTATTTCGGTTGTAGTGAACGTTCTCGTACTTAATCCATGTCCGTTAGATCGTGTACAATCATCAAGTATTTGACACAGCAGAATCATTCATGGATGCGTTTCATAATGGTACGCTCAAGCGTGTGCCTCCAGTAACAAAGCAAGAAGAAGATCTTTCTTGGAGTACACGAGAACGTATTGGTGCCTTACGCGACCTCGACAACCTTCCAGGACCTCGCTCTGTATCTTTTGCTGGGTTGCGATTTAGGGTTGATTATGACCTGCAATACGTCAGTTGGATGGGGTGGGGACTTTACCTAGGTTTCGATCGCGACATGGGACTAAACTTGTGGGATATACGCTTCCGAGGTGAGCGGATCATCTACGAGGTAATTGTCCATCGTCTACTGCACTACTTTAACTATCCGACTGATATTCAAACTAGCTCAAGCCTCAAGAAGCATTGGCACAATACAGTGAGTTGTCGAATCTGAATCGAAGGGAATATAAGTGACCTGTGTAAAACAGCCGGGAATGATCCGTATAAGTCGAGCACTGCACTTCTAGATTCATACTTTGGCATGGGGCAATCGGTTCGCGACCTGCTTCCAGGATATGATTGTCCAGATGAGGCAATTTACCTCCCAGCTACCACTTTTTCTGCGACTGGGATGATGTCTAGGAAGCGGGCAATATGTATCTTTGAACAGGATAGCGGACGTCCTATATCAAGACATCTTGGTTTTGAGCAAAGTGAATTCGGTGCCGTCAAAGGTTACCAGCTGGTCATTAGGAGCGTTGCCACCGTTGGAAAGTGAGTGGCATTATGATAAAAGTTCTTTGGAATGTATGCACTCAGCATATTGCATTTAGCTATGATTACTGTGAGTATCATGATTAGCTTCCGTTTTCCAAAATTCGACTATTGTTTAACCTTTCTTTAGTGGTGAGTATTCATCGCTCCGTTGGTGATCATATACTTACATGCGAGACCCTCTCCCAAGTTTGAATATATCTTCCATGTCGATGGAACTATCGAGGTTCGTGTATCAGCATCCGGATACCTTTTATCAGGGTTCTGGGATGACGAGCAAGGAGCTTATGGAAGCAAAATCTGGAACACTACTCGTATGTCGTCTCCCGGTACTTTCGACGTATATATATATATATTACTGATGCATATAATCAGTCGGAAGCCTCCACGATCATGTCATCAACTTCAAGGTTTTGAAAATCTATGTGATATACTTCATGATCTGAGCTCTTTCTGCAGGTCGACCTCGACGTAGGGAGGAATACAAAATTCGCTGTTGAAAACAAGTCTTAGTCAGGAGGTCACCACCCAACCGTGGTTCGATGACGATTGGGGCGAAGAAGTGATCCAACAAAAGATCACCCGTGAATACATCGATAACGAAGACGAAGCCCTGTTAAGATTCCCCGCCAATTTCCAAGGAGGTTATACTATTGTGAACACTAATGAAACCAATAAATGGGGAATTCCTAGAGGATATGCAATTCACCCGGGATACTCGCCGGTTCATAATGTGCGCAACACATTGAATGTTCCTGTATTGTTTTTGACAGACGTTCTTCCAAGACTGTCGTAGGATCTAAGCGTCTGCTCAAGAATGCCAACTGGGCGCGTTATCACCTGGCGGTGTCCCGTCGCAAAGATACGGAGCCCTCTTCCAGCAGCATGTGGAACTTTAATCTTCCAGGGGCTCCCCCTGTCGACTTCCACAACTTTTTCGACGGTGAAAATATCACTCAACAGGATCTGGTGACCTGGATTAACGTTGGGATGCACCACCTAGTAAGTTTTCCTTCTAGTATCTCAGTGCGGAGCTAAACTGCTCGGTTACAGCCTGCATCAGAGGATGTTCCGAATACAAGGACTAATACAGCCGCTTCGAGGTCAAATCCTAGCTATGTATCAATGCGACGTGCTGACTCACAGCATCATGTAGTTTCTTCCTGACACCTTTTAATTATTTCGACTACGATGTGTCGATCGAGTCTGCCAACGCCATACTGCTTCAGCCTCCCAAGAAGCCAGGAGACCCGTTTTCTTATGATGATTATAATGTTCGTCCAGCCCACTGCGTCCCGCAACCACCTGCCGCATTCGAGTACTATCCGGAACAGGTGTACGACCTGGATGGGAAACCTGCACCTCCCTCAACGGTGGAAGAGATGAGGAAGGCTTCTGAGCTTTACCTTCGTATCAAGTTTGAGCTTTGACCACAGGAATGCTAAGGATCATTTGAATTAGCTTACCTTGTTTATGTACCATTTCGAAGATTGTGTCCATCCGTCGACGTCGGGACTCGAGAAACAGTGTCTCTTTCAAGAGATTCATGGAAGCTCAAATTTCAAATTTCAAATTCAACGTTAAACGTTGAAAACGCTCAACGCCCAGCGTCAGCGCTTACTCAAGTACCAAAGAAGGAAATGTCGCCTTACGTCGCCACATAATGAAGGCGGCAGGGGGTGTATATCCGTGATGACGATATGATTTCGCTTCGTTTGTCTGGCGCTATGTACGGTATATATTGAAGGTACACTCATTTCGATCACGAGGTCGGGCGCCGCTGGTGCTGTGAGTTGACTCGGAGCGTTTTCAACGTTAGATTTGAGCTCCACCAAAGCTCCACTATTATATATGTCAGTACATGGCAACCGGCGGGTCTTGCTTATGCGGGCATAATCTCGCCAAAGCTCTAGCTTTTTCGAGCTCCGCCACCACTATGGTTTCCTCTGAGCTACCCTCAAGCTGTACTCCGTTGTAATATCACCCTTTTAAAAGCGGCCTCAAGGCTGAGCTCAAGAAACGGACTATGTGAGCGGCGCCTTTTAATGGTCACATCACTAGACCTGTGTTGGATCAATGACTACGTCATCCCACTGATATCGGAACTCGATGCGAATGTGGCAAGGACCTATGACGCTGTCTGCGCCCAAGCGTTGATCCGATGGTGGTATATAAAGCTAGCCCAGCCATTATCTTAATACACTAGCATCCGCCAGCTCTCTGACACTCCGACACTAATCCCTTTAATATGACCCTAGTTTCGAATGATCCCAATTGGTGGCCGTTGCTCGATTTTTATCGAATTTACAGCTATTTTATAGGTTCGTGGACAGGCAGAGTCAGCGATATCGATGATGACTCACTCAGATCTGCCTTTTACCACTGCGACTTTACAGTTGCATCCTCTACGGTAGTCATATACGATTGGGGTGAGACATACACAATCATATGCTTATCGAGAGACGTATTGATGCCCTGTGATATCCAGTTCTGACATTTGGACAAGAGGTAAGTTGATGGCACAAGTTGCTAGAGCAGCTATCTCACGGTTTTCTAGTTTGAACTGGTCTTGGTAAGTAGAGTCACTCGGAACAGGATGATTCAGCTAATTCCGAGCGGCAGAGGCAACGCTGGTCCCGTATGACTGTCGTATATATCAGCGTATCTAGCTCATATTTTGACTTTGGTTGAAAAATTGTGCTGATTCATAACATATCTTAGGTGCGCTATGTCGGAATGCTTTCATTTGGGTATTATGTTTGCCAGGCTAATTGAGTCAGTACTATACTAATAAGATATTATCTCACGATCAGCATCAGCATACTACGTATGTCTTATCATATTCATCGTGATTGTTTCTTCTGACCGGTAGCATGTAGTGGGTCTTCCGTCAGTTTCGGTGACAGATACAGTGAGGATTCTGCACCATTTTCTATCAGTTCATTCAACTCACTGTCCTCCTATGTAGGGGTGAGTGAGAACCTCGACCATTTTGTTGATTCGATATAATGACTATTACAGTTGTGAGTTCGTTTGAAGCATCCAGTACTCTGAGCTCGTTATTGACTTGGATCTTCCAGGCACTATTCTTGGCCTTACACAACGGTGGATGATTTTTATCGTAAATGTCATGCTAGGTTGTAAGCTACTTGACTGCAGTGCTTGATTAAGAGACTTGACTGAAATATCACGCCAGACATCTTAATTGCTCGGTTACGTGCGATGTACCAGCGATCTAGAAAGGTTTCAATCTTTCTTGTCGGAATCTCCTTTGCTTGCATAATTGTAAGCGGAATGATCCTCGCAATATCAAGCAGTAATGTTTCAGGAGGTGAGACTCGATTGTCGTTAAAGGACACAAGCGTATTGGGCTCAATGAATACCAGAGGAGCTTATTCTCTCTGGCACCTATCACTGTGTTCTCAGCGGAAACAGTGGCTCCCCATTATCTGAGACTTGGGTGACTTGGATACTCGGTATCGTATGGGAGTTCCTCGTACTATGCCTTGCAGTCTGGATTGCTATAAAACACTTCCGTGAACTGCAACGACCATCCCCAGGGAGAGACAGTTTCGTTGTGTTAATAAAAACACATGTGTATTACTTTGCAGCGTGAGTTTGAGACTTCAATACAATATATATATTATGGCTGAACGTCCTCACCAGACATGCCGCTGTTTCTTGCTTGGCCATTGGCAGCCTTCTCTCTCCACAAATATCGGTACGCCAACCTGCAACTGACACGTGCTTTTGACAATTCTCGTCATTTCTATAGGGTTCCTCTTCAATTGGAACTGAGGTTTATTCTGGCATCGTTGAAATTTCCCTGCTCGCGCAGATGTTTATTATGGGGCCGCGACTTCTCCTTAGCGTTCGAGAATATAGCGCTAATCTCGTGGCCGACTCTGAGATAGGAACTAACCTAACTACAATTGTTTTCCAAAAGAGCATGCCTGTGTCAACTGATGATGGTGTGTAGCACGGGAAACTATCCAAGTGATCCAAGTGACCCATAGAATACTTCACGAAGTTGTTGTCAATTTCTCGTAGCATTGATACATCATTATTTATTTGGCTACCCATCCGGTGTTCCGAACTACACGAAAAATTGAGGTCACATCATAAGACCCGACGTGGCCTTTGTGTTCAATATAGTTGCAATATCATGATGGCGTGCAAGTCGGCCCAAGCGTTGGTATATGAAGTTAGTGCGGCCATCATTTGCGGCCAGCTTCTCTGCCAGTGACACTCCAACACTAATCCCTTCAATATGACCCTAGTCTCTAATGATCCTAATTGGTGGCCGTTGCTCGACTTTTATCGGATTTACAGTTATTTTGTAGGTTCGTGGACAGGTAGAGTCAGTGATGTCGATGATGGCTCACTCAGATCTGCCTTTTACCACCATGACTTTACAGTTGCATCCTCTACGGTAGTCGTATACGATTGGGGTGAGAAATGTGCAATCATACGCTTATCGAGAGATGTATTGATGCCCTATGATATCCAGCGCTGACATTGGGACAAGAGGTAAGTTGATGACATTTGCTCAGTAGATTCGGAGCAGCTATCTCACGGTTCTCTAGTTTGAACTGGTCCTGGTTAGTAGAGTCTCTCGGAACAGGATGATATAGCTAATTCCGACCGGCAGAGGCAACGCTGGTCCAGTATGACCGTCGTATATATCAGCGTACCTAACTCATGTCTTAACTGTTGGAAAATTGCGCTAATTCATGAGATATTTTAGGTGCGCTACGTCGGAATGCTTTCATTTGGGTACTATTTTGCCAGACTAATCGAACCAGTACTGTGCTAATAAGACATCATCTCACGATCAGCATCAGCATACTGCGTATGTCTTATCATATTCATTGTGATTATTTCTTCTGACCGGTAGCATGTAGTGGGTCTTCCGTCAGTTTCGGTGACAGATACAGTAAGGATTCCGCACCGTTTTCTATCAGGTCATTCAACTCGCTGTCCTCCTATGTAGGGGTGAGTGAGAACCTCAGCCACTTTGTTGGTTCAATATAATGACTATTACAGTTGTGAGTTCGTTTGAAGCATCCAGTACTCTGAGCTCGTTATTGACTTGGATCTTCCAGGCACTATTCTTGGCCTTGCACAATGGTGGATGATTTTTATCGTAAATGTCATGCTGCGTTGTGAGCTACTTGGCTGTAGTACCTGATTAAGATTAACTGGACTGAAATATCATGCCAGACATCTTAATTATTCGGTTACGTGCGATGTACCGGCAATCAAGAAAGATTTCAATCTTTCTTGTCGGATTCTCTTTGGCTTGCACGATTATATGTGGAGTGATCCTTGCAATATCAAGCAGTACCATTTCAGGAGGTGAGCCTTGATCATCATCAAAAGACCCAAGCATATCATGCTGATGAATACCAGAGGAGCTTATTCTTTCTGGCACCTATCAGTGCTTTCTCAGCGGAAATAGTGGCTACCCACTATCTGAGCCTTGGATACTCGGCATTGTATGGGAGTTCCTCGTACTATGTCTTGCAGCCTGGATTGCTATAAAACACTTTCGTGAACTGCAACGACCATCCCCAGGGAGGGACTGTTTCGCTATGTTAATAAAAACTCATGTGTATTACTTTGCAGCGTGAGTTTGAGACTTCAATTCAATATATCCTTTATGACTGAACTTCCTCACCAGGCACGCTGCTGTTTCTTGCTTGGTCACTGTCAGACTTCTCGCTCCACAAATATCGGTACGCCAACCTGCGACTGGCACGTGCTTCTGACAACTCTCGTCATTTCTATAGGGTTCTTCTTCAGTGGAAACTGAGATTGATTCTGGCATCCTTGAAATTTTCCTTTTCGTGCAGATGTTTGTTCTGGGGCCACGACTCCTTCTCAGCGTTCGAGAATATCATGCTAATCTCATAGCCGGCTCTGAGATAGGAACTAACCTAACTACAATTGTTTTCCAAGAGGACATAGTACCTGTATCAACTGGTGACGGTGTGTAGCACGGGAAACTATCCAAGTGATCCAAGTGACCCATAGAATACTTCACGAAGCTGTTGTCATTTTTTGTCGTAGTATTGGTACATCATGATTCATTTGGCTACCCACCGAACTACACGAAAATTGAGGTGACATCATAAGACTCGACGGGGCCTTTGTATTCAATATAGTTGCAATATGGCGTGCACGTTACGGAATTATGTTTTACTGCCTGAAAAAAGAAACCTTGGCTCCCGCAATATGATGAGACAACTTGAGCTCACAAATGGAATCCATCAAGTCCCATCCTCCAGCTTGGAGATTCGCTTCCTTCGCAAGAACTCGAAAGTTGTAGTTTGTTGTTCACCGTGCATCCAGACTCGATGATGAAGCTCGCTGTAGAGGAAATTGCAAGGCACGTTGGAGTGAATGATGAGCTGTATGAAGCTGCATTAGATCAGTTGTGAAGACCTGCCAAATCACGATTCATTGTTAATGTAACAGGAAACATCACGCTTGCGTGAACCCGCTGGCACTGTCCAACAAAGACAATTGGAGAAATGCTCACGAGCCCTGGAATGTTGACCAGTCCGTGCATGCTTCGCCAAGGTGACCGTGGTTCAATTGACTCATCTGCACAACGTCTGCACATCTATTCGTGAATAACCATCAAACAATGACAGCGTTACTGTTGACACCGAGAGCTTCGGATATATGGTCACAACCAGCACATAGTTCCTGTCGAAAGGTGCGATTTCTTGATAAATTTGCTAAAAATGCTTCGGGTTACCATGGCGGCACACGGATGAGTTGAAATTTGATTTTATAAATGTCTAGTTTGAGTCAAGTATTTAATGGTGTCCAGAATTCAAGTGGGCGGTTGGAAAGACCGTGGAAATGTGTCACGATGAGAGTTCCGAATCAGAGGCATACTTTTAAAGCCTAAAGGGGGTTGTTACTCTTAGATCTTCGACCATGCTCATCAAAGTAAAGGTAAGGACGCAGACACGCTGCCAGGAAACATTCCGCTAACCTGATGACCTCCGCTAGACACTCACCGGCAAGGAGGTGCTAAATCCAATCCTTGCCATCCGCTAGTGACTGCTAACGAAGGTTCACGCGCAGATCGAGTTGGACATAGACCTCGAGGATAAGGTATCTGCAACTAAGGGCACCAATTATGTAACACCTTACGGATTCTATCGGAACAGATCACTCGAATAAAGGAGAAGGTCGAAGAGCAGTCCGGTGTGCCACCACAACAACAGAGACTGATCTTCGGAGGGAGACAAATGTGCGTCATCCTAGCTTCTACAAGATCATCGCGTAAACTCACCTGATTAAGGCCGGATGATAAAACTGCTAAGGAGTTTAATATCACCGCTGGATCCGTTCTTCATCTTGTTCTTGCTCTACGTGGCGGCTTTTGATATCGTACCCTTGGGGAGGTGTGTCAGAGATGTGCTCTAGCAAAGGAGTTTGATTATGAGGTGTAGGATTCCGTGCATTGTTAGATATCATTTGATTTTTACCTTGTTGTCGCATCGCTTGTCTTCCATCGCTGGTTCTTTAACTTGACTTACTCTGACATGGTACTATCTTCTTTCTACACGTGCAGCTGATAATTTCTAGGCAGTTCCACGTACTTATCACGGATCAGGCCCTCCGACGATGTCTGCGCCTGGCAGCAACCACCTGAATGTGATGCTCAATCTCGTTCCCCTATCAATCCAGTCAGGTTCTCCTTGTCCATCTATTCCTCCACTGACAAAATCCTTATGTTTTCCATCAATCCCGTGAGTCCAGTTGTAGCGCGCATCCTCCGATAGGACCAAAACACTGCGTTCTTCCAGATAGAGGTCCCAATGATTTCTATCCAGCGGCCCGGCCTCTCCGAACAGCTCTTCTTGACACTGAACCCGCTCAAAGTTCATCACACACCCACTTCCAAAGCTTACTCCTATGATTCCATCATCGAACCGTCTCAGTAGATCGACATGGGGTGAGATGCCTTCTCCAGGATGATACAGGTTCAGGATCGCCTGTCGTGCGCGCTGTGGCGCATCCTTGGGCGGAAATAACATTTCATGCACTTTCTCGGGTAGATGACCACGTAACATTTCGGCAAGCCAGTGCAGGAGTGTGATCAAAAATGTTGGTAAGCCGCTTCCCATATTCTGGCTGTGCTCGGATGCTGTGCGTCCAAAGAGCATGATCTGATTTACGTCTCGCCCATCGAAGTAAAGGTTCATGCACTGCTGAACGATGTCGTTTGCCAGTTCGAGAGGTAATCTGATGGGTGGAACGAAAAGCCCAGGTATCGGCGGCGCAGTGCGCATGGCAATCTGAGGCTCATCAAAGAGCGAGTCACTGTCTTCTGAGAATGGGCTAGTTGCACGAGCGTCATGCTCTGCTCCGCTGAATTCATTATGCTCTACTTCACTGAAAGTTGAAAAGCGCACCTGCATCGTTTACTGCGTACATTGCTAACAGATGCCTCAGTGCCCAGTGCTGACGATAGCGAGAAGGGATATGGTATCACACGTGGAAGCTTGTACAATCTAAATATACACGTAAGCTGTGGACGGTGTGAACATGTGTTTCAGATCCAGCAGCACAAAAGCGATCTCAGAGTACGATTCAGTAGCACTTTTCCAACCACCTTGTGACATCTTCCTCAAGCGATCCTAAGATATAGATGACTTAACAACCATCGGCAAAACCCCTGCCTCAGAATAAGCACGAGCTCTCGAATCAGGTTCGAGTACGAACCTCCAGTGGGTAAAATGTATTGTCTGTGGTTCACAACTCGCAGCACTGCACTAACAATGCCCCCATGGGCAGTGAAAGAGATGACTAGACGAGTGCTCAGTCTACATCGATAAACAGGTGGGATATGATGCTCACATTGTTCCTGGTCATTGTCAAAAATCATGTCCAGTACGCCCCTCATTCGGACATCGATTTCGCCGTGGGTTTCCCTCACTTGGGAGTCCCAAAGTTCGTCTTCTTCCACGAGCTCCTCTTCGATGTCAAAGTCAGGGAAAGTTCGTTCGATATAAGTGCGCGTTCTACGCTTATCACAGGTATGGACGCCGTGTGTTTCTCTAAGGTTCTATAGCGCGAGTGAGTGAACCTAGCGAAAAATTCTTGTATCTTGATATATACCTCGATAATCACGGTTCTCTGCGATTCCGGTATAATGGAGTCGAATGTTATCTTGTTCGTATAGATAGCTCGTGTGAGAGGACTGCAGTACAGCTTCCCCGGAAGGGGAATATCAAATTTACGTTCTTGTTTCCATGCGTTATGGGCTGCTTTCGCCTGCTCCTGGCCAAGCGTCGTCAATTCTGGATCCGCTATGACAAGTTGTGAAGCAGCGCAATTCAGTAAACGGGTGATGTCACTGACGTCCCCAGATCAATTCTCCGTCCCCACTTTTCTTTGACCAATACCTTGATGGATGCAATCAGGTCAAGGAGTTTCATTGGAGAAAGAGAATGGTAGAAGTGTACCTGTTCCATTTCTTCCGATGTGGGAGCGAGGTGTTAGGATAGGATGGGCACTATGATGTAGGTAGGTCGCACCTCTGTGCCATACTTCGCCTCGGCTACGTTGTCTGCGGGGAAAAGTTCATAAAATCTGTGATCAATTCTTTAAATGTCATCTTCAGTAACATGAGATCCTCACGAAAGCCTTCACCATGTCTGCCCACGAAAAACACCTTGTACTGCGTGCCGACGGGAGAGGACGTATTAAGCTGATCAATCCGTTGCTTGAACGTCCTCCATCGATTATCGGAAGGGTCTATTAGCCCGAATCGGGCAGGGAGCTAGAGTTCAAATCTTCACCAGTAATCGATGGAAATACAGAGAGACTTACAGCCTTCCATGGCAAAGAACGAGATTATGCATCAGCCACTCAGTGGCAAGCGAAATTATGATGGTCGAACACTACCTTGCCTTGACCGTAACCAGCGCCAACTTCTTGCTCGAAGAATCCTTTGACCACCTGCCATTGGACTCATTCAGTTCTCGATCTCACATGATCTCGAGAGACATGGATAGTAAAAGCTGACCTCATAAGACCGATGGGACATGGTGTACTGGGGCTATAGGGGAGATCTTCGTGGGGAATCACAGGAAATTACTATAACCTAGCTCGTCTAAGAGTTTTTGTATGCTCCGACTCAGGGTCAACTAGAAACAATAGTATACTAGTACTAAGCAACTTTGGAGAATCTTTGGGTTCTTGTTTCAAGTCGGACTCCGGTGAAATTCACAGCCGAACCGTCTTTATGTAATTTAGAGTTCAGTCGCTTTACTGGGTGACTTAACAGGAGGAATGACTGACTCATGTGACATGTCAGCGCTTCAGCGACCCCTAGTATGCGTTCAATTCAATTCAATTCAAGTGCACATCAATTGACGTTCGTGAGTTGTCATGAGTATGTATACCAAGTATTACAATTACAACAATCATAAATAGCTGGAATATATAAATTTATGAGTTGACCTGCTCGGATGCTTCGTGGCAAACCGGTAAATATCAACCCTAGTTCCAGTCGGCAGGCAAGTCACATTTACAAACATACCTCCGCGGAACCTTAGTCCCTGAGGCTGTAACCCTGCAAGTTGCTCCATGCATAGCATCATGTGCCAACTCGCTCGGGCACTCATAGTCTACGTGTATTCGCCCGAGAGAGAAACCACCGTTGGCTCGCTCGTGCACGGCTTTCTTAAAGTCTGGTAGCCGAGGATGAGAGCATTCGATAGCAAGCTTTCCAGAGTCTACGGATTCTAGTGGTGCGTTGCCCAAGCAAGCTTTAAACATGGCTAGTTGGACGTGAGCAAGGGTACGCCAGCGGATTTTGATCATAGACTTACGATCGTATCCCCGATTCTCTAACTTCTGCCAGTCGATGCAGGCAAAGAACGGGTGACTGCGGATTGACTCCAAGTCAGGCCTCATGGAATAGTGTCTGGGAAAGAAAATCTGATGTGGAGTCCAGCCAACGTCGACAACACAAAAACTTGGAGACATACAGAATAAAGAAGATCCTTGGCGTCCTTATCTTGGATGAGATATATTTCGTCGTTCGGTCTTATGAAGGCCAGCTGGCTGTAACCCGCGGGTATCTTCTTGTGGCCGTTACCATATTTATGCGTTCCATCACTGAAATGATATATAGAATGCCAGTGCTTAAGAGTCGAGTGAGCTTTAGTGCCAGGGCGATCTGGAACCACAGATGATTGCTCACCCCGCCGTTTATTAGTAAAAGCTCCAGTAGAATGGTACCATAGGTCCAGGTGTCCGTCTTGAAGTTATATCCCTGCTTTCCCTCGACTCGTTCTGGAGGAAGGTAACCGCTGGTACCCGATGCACCATACATGAGCTCGTTGTAAAATTGCTGATAGGTTAGTTTGCGGTCTAGGACTTCAGCATTGCCAAAATCTGCAATGCATACGTGACCGGACGGAGTTATGAGCACGTTTTCCATCTTTAAGTCCAAATGTACGACGCGCAGCTTGTGAAGATGCTGGAGGGCGAGAAGCTTTGGGGATAACGAAGCACATTAGATCAAACTTGCATGCAGAATATAGGAGATACTTACAAGCTCAGCAGCAACAAGACGCAACTGCCAATGCATGAATCCGAATTTTGCTCTAGTGCGAAGAGTCTGGGGGTAGAACCTCTGGGGCACGTTCAGCACCAAATCAGATGATAGTCAGGAAGACCCACCATTACGAAGTAGAAGTTATCCTCGTCCTCGAAGGCATGCAGCAGAGGAGTCAAAAATGGGGATTGCTCTTCGGTGACGCGCTTGAATGTCTCATATTCAGCACTGATAGCTGCTGCTGCTGCTTGAGAACCTTCGAGCAGTTGTTGCACGGTCGGTCGTTTGTCTCTGGCGCAGTAAACAAATTGCGCAAGCAACCCAGCCTTGTCGATGACCTTGATGGCGACCTCCTCTGTTTGGTCCTTGATAGCGTACCAGACGTAACCGAATGCACCACTGCCGACCTGTGCTGTAGCGACATACTTATGACCACCCGCCTGAATAGAATAGGCAAGATTCCCATCGTTCGAAATCCTCTCAACGATAACACTGGCCTGTTTTGCCTCAGGTGTCGACGATGACTGAAAATTCGAGGCACTGGGTTCAAGAGTTGAGAACATATCGCCGAGGTTTAGCTCGGTATTGCCTTGCGCAAGTTGTAGTGATGCGTCGTTACCGAGGCTTCGCTTGGTAACACCCTGTAGTAATTCGGAGGGTGATCCCTGCTGCGTAAGGTATATAGATGGCGCACGTAAGTGCCCAGCTTGGACTCCTGGCTTTTTATCTGCGGGAAGCTTCAGAGGTGGGCATCGCGGTGGCTCATGGGGAGCAGACGATGGTGATCGGTCACATTGAAGTTGTGGAATTAGAGGATCGTATCGCTGTGGGTCCAGGCATGATTTATAGGAGGAAGCGGGAGTGGCAGGCGATAGCGATTGGCTAAGGGGAAAATGTGGAAACACATAATCGTATTGCTGTGAGCCAAGGCGTGCTTTCTGAAAAGAAGGTTCGTCGGGGGTAGTAGGGACCATCGACGGTATGACAGTTTCAGTGGTAGGTCCGACGGGAGGTCCTGCAACGTGAATGAGTGAACTTGCGCCAGCGCGTTTTTTGGGTGTCTCGATGTCCTTGCTCTCGATGGTCTGCATGGTCCGAGACAAAACCGGTGTCGCGACGGTAAATTCGGAAAGTGGAGAATGAGTAGGTATCACAACTGGTGATATGTATTGACTCAGAATATCACTGTCTCGGACAGTGTCCGTTATGAAGGCAGGTGGAGAAAGAACGGAATCAGGAATCCCCGTCGACTGCGTGGCGGTAGTTTCGATGTTAAATACAACTGGAGGATTTGATGGAGAAATCTCGAGAGGCGGTGCAAATTCCTGGGCGGTGTGCGCATGTCCTTCACAACTTGTACCAAGAGTAGGTAGTACTTGAGTTTGTTGGATTGGCATGTGGGTGCCATCGGCAGTGGGGGACAAAACTACGTGAAATCGGAGGTTTACATCGACAGGAAAAATCGCTTGGGTAGCCGGAGACCGTTTGATCAGGGATGAGATATTTGATGCAAGGGCAGGTGTTGCAGCAGTCGCGAGGTCCAATACAGAGGCAGATCCAGACGTCTTGAATCGTTTGAAGATGCGAGCAAGCAAGTGTCTGAGGGCCATTGATAAGTGCGGGTGGCGTTATGATAATATGTGAGCTATAGTCCTGGAGAAACCGGACGTTAAATAGAGCTCGGACATATTCTGCGCCACTAGGAATACTGGATCACAAATGTGGATGTGGCCAAAGATTAGGAAGGGACCACAACGCTTTGGCTCATCGCAAAGCGGGCCCATCAGGAAACAATTGCGGCGTCCAACAACGATATCTTGATCGGGACACTGTTAGCACCTTGGGCATAAAGCTTTAAAGCTGTATGCCGTGTGGAACCAAAGCGGCACGTAGTATTATCGACCTGAGGTAAGAAGGAATTTTGGATAGTATTGTTAATGCCCCTGGTACACGAAATCGAGAGTTTTGTCACGACATTATGATCCAGCTCAAATGCCACCCAAGGAATATCGCATGAGCCTTTCTTTGATACCGCATCAAACGAGTGGACATATGTCATATAGTCGAAGCTCGTCAGTAAGGTTGGATGAAGGAGTTGGTGCCGGAAACATCCGTGGTGCCCTTGGATGTTGTTCTCACGGGAATGCAAGGACCTCGACGCTTACTCAAGGCGAGGCATTGGCATTTCTGTAGGGAAATACCACAGCATCGAGAGGAAGACGTACAAAACCAACTTGTTGGTCATGCATCATGACTCATGAGCGGCCTGGTCTGGCGACAACAGAGGGCAACATCATATTTTAGTAGGCAATTTTGGGCTATTTCAAGTTGGTTGCCAGGAGGTAAAGTTCACACCCGCATTATTGAACGTGACTTGGCCTTTTCCTCCGATGAAGCGAGGAAACGATATCGACACTTCCCAAGTCGACGGGAATGTTTCCCCGGAAATAAAACACAGGATGCTCCGCGCTCTGCAATCCATGCGGTGCTCAACTGGCAAGCCTTCTAGCAGTTTCGAAAACATGATTGCGTCCCGGTTGCAATTAACAGAGGCATCTACATTGTCAAAGACCGAGGAACCGGAGAAGTTTGAAGGTCGTGTCGTTATTCAGGTGATTGTGGACGAAGGTACCTTTCGTTTCTCATATTCGCTGTGTTTATTGACAGGTTCTCAGAGTTGCTTAATATCGATCAAAACGTCCACGGTGGATGTACGGCCATGATAATTGACATGTATGTTTTTTCTCCTCCTGTTTGCCTAGAACTAATATAGATGCGTAGTTGCTCGACAATGCCCATTTACGTCCTTGGGGCCTCGACAAGCGGTCATGGCGAATTTGGCGTATCACAGTCTTTGAACATTGTGTACCATTCACCAGCATTGTTGTACGTTCAAATATGACACTAGTCACTTTCTGTTGAATCATCGTGTCAGGGGAGACAAGCTACGCGTTGTGAGCACAACACTCGCTCTTGGCAGCCGGGCACTCTCAAGTCGTTGTGAAGTGAGATTCTGGCAATTTCAGTCCCTTGCTTTATCAGCTCATAACTAGCTTCGAAGGTATGGAATGTTACGCGACACCGATTGGTAGCATCAGCTGTGCACATTAAGATGGTGCCATCCAAACCTAAGGCATCTGAATCTGCCAAACTCTGACCTGGGTGCGGTCACAAGTCTAGGTGACATGTTGATTTACACATACCACAATCATTATATGGCTGTTTTGAAAGTAGTCCTCTGGCCTGCTCGTATTCTGCATGGATTCTAGCACTCTGTTCATTTATAAGCTAATCTCGCGTAACCTTAGTTTCCTCAATTACACTGGCTACGACTCAGGGAAAACCTTCGGGTAACGGGCTGAAAATTCCCCGGTCACGTGACTGTTTGAAGACCAAGGCGTCTTTCATCACCGTTTTCGTGGCGGAAAATTCTGGGTATGTTGTAGAGACGGGATGATGTCTGACGCGTCAGGATTCCGAAATAGATCGGCTCTATCTACTAACATGTTACCATTCGATAATAAAGGTTGGACCCTGTAAACTGTCGGAGGAAGGTACGAAGCCTTTTCTCCTTTTCTATGTATGATCGTCTTTATTGTTCTACTCATCGAGCTCGCGGTCTTTGCGCACAGCATTTTCTGCAGTTAATCATCTGGCCTCATCGCGAAACATTCCACAGAGACATACTACTAGCACGACGGCGCTGCCATTGGCAGTCTGTGCACATCCCCTATGAGGTATACGCCTGCATTCGGCTTTCATTCAAAGTGAATTGATATGGTGGTTATTTTAGTCGTTTATCCCGAACTGACGTTCTGAGCCAAAATACTGAACTGAATTCCCCTCGGAGCTGAGCAAAGCTAAGTAGTTCGATTCTCCATTTGTTTTTGTTATCTGCAACTGATACCGAAGCTCATAGCTTTATTACGCTACAACGCTACTCCATTACAAACTTTAATAATGACATTCTTCCTACTCTGAAACACCGGATCAGTAAGTAAACGAGGTGTGTCGGCAGACCAAGTCAAGACCTCAATCACCGCTCACCACGTATATTTTCTAGTCATTTATAAGAAATAGCCTATTACTTGTTATCTGATTCTGTCGAACCTTCTTCAGTGCACCTCCGTGATGGTCTGCACCTACACAATCGCCCACTTTGCCTCTACTCACCTATTAACACTCCTTCCTTTCTCAATTGAAGTCCCGATCTAGAAAGTCCCCTCGGTCCACGTTTCCGCCGGATTTCCAAGTTCAGGGAACTTGGCTTGAACAACATGGCTGGGAGCGATCCTCGACTTGATGATCCAAACTCGATTGAATGGCCAGCGCTTGATTCCATGGCTGACTATATCCTACTGTCGAATTTGATTGTCAGATCCCCTGCTCTAGAATGTTTAATGAGAGACGCCTCGTCAAACATGCACCATTGCTTGAGATCAATCTCAACATAAATTATAATTCATGCGACTAACACTAAATACAAATTGTTATGATAATCATCCGAGTCGTAGAGGAAGATGGTATATACGATGATATGTCTTGGTTCTAAACCAGTGGATAGACTGATAGGTAGGGGTGTCTGCACTTTTGTTGCTCCGAGTCAACGCGAGTGTCGCCAAGTCCATGTAAACATGCTTCAAGATGGTCAAAGAGTAGAGGATACCATATTCCCGCTACCTTTAGGTAGCTGGGTTTTTGTCGACCGTTACACAGATATTGGGCATTTGCAAATTCAATCGCACATAAACGGCAATAATTTCTCATCCTGGTTCGATGAAGTATTCTTTTCTCACACTTCTCTGTATCGACGCCCGAAATTGATTCTCTGCTGAGACACTCATTATATTAGCTCATCCTGATTGTCTCGATGAATACAGAAAACACCTGGAGAAGAGAAGGATCGCCAAGATAACAGCCAGATGCAACAAGCAGATCACCAATAGAACTAACTCGACTTGAGAAAGTAACGAGTGCCGCTGCAGTAGGCGACATAACAGCTGGACGAGAGCAACGGCAAACACATTCACATCATGTACTCCGATACTTATCGTCTACATTAGCTTCCTTCGGATGATCTACTTCAGAATTTAGCAACAACCCCTCCTACAGACGCTAACGTTCCCGCCAGCTTCCTTCTCACCACCTCCGCTCATCGACACACACAACGAGTGAGAGCTATCCGGGGGTCGGGACACGCGCTCAGTCATCCTCCATCGAAACCTACTACATGCTCAGAAATGGCAGTATGATCTAACAATGGTTAGGGCATGCCACCACCATCGGTTACCATTCATTTGTCCAACCACTTACTCGGCCAATTGCAATTGTAAATAATGTAAGTGTGCCGGGAGCGCGTACGTGATTTGATAACAGAACTCCTGTAACGGGCGACAGGCTCTCTGATCACTTGTAATTAGATGCACTTGCCACTCGAACATTCCGAGATTCCGGGCATACATTATGTGTCAACGGACTCTTCACCGCAAGCATGACCGTGGAAGCAACCGGAGGCTTTGTTTTTTCCCCCAAACAACTGAGGTATGTCATTCAACACAAGTCAGTCTTCTGTACATTGAGCTTTTGCCATTGTGGTACCCTAGTAAGTACTTCACGAGTTTCATACCTTCTGGAACTCCGATGAAGTCGTACCAGATAAAATGGAATGGATGCTAACCTGCCTCGAGTATGTGGCGGACATGTGTAACATGGTCAGACCGCCGCCACGCATAACCGTTACACCAAAAGGTGAAATACTGAAAGCTTAGCTTTCAGTATCAGCGACGGTATATGTACTGATTATGAGAACTCAGGTAAGCCAGCGTGCTTACACCCTCCCACGTTATCAGATCTTTTTCCTCCCCCACCAGTCCTGCTCCCAATCGCTTAGGCACTGTGGTTTGTGTGGGAGTTTCTATCCGAAACGGGAGGGTACATATGTCCACCCCAAGGGCGAACCTTGGAATTTGACCCGGAGCGGGTTGGAACGCCCGACCTCCTGCAAACCCTAAGCTTTCAGTATATGTAACATGGTCAGACCGCCGCCATGCATAACCGTTACACCAAAAGGTGAAATACTGAAAGCTTAGCTTTCAGTATCAGCGACGGTATATGTACTGATTATGAGAACTCAGGTAAGCCAGCGTGCTTACAACATGTTATGCAATCGTGATTACAGTTCAGATTGGTAAACAGTCTAAAACAGAGCTAGGCGAGCTGGCATCGCAGTTCTCTAGCAGCTGATATACTAGCATAGGATTTGCAGCGTCAATGCTCAATTTTCAAGTCCATTTTAAGCAGAAAAATTTACCCCCCCCCAGCCTGTGACTTGACTTTTCCCTCCAGATGACGCCAGCGAACAATATCGACACTTCCCAAATGAAAGGAAATGTTTCTCCGGAGGTAAAACTTGCATTGTTAAACTCTCTGGCGCAGCCGGGCCACATATCGCATTCGACTGGCAAGCCCTTCAGAGGTTTCAAAGCCGAGTTCGTGTCCCGGATGCAACCAACAGAGGCATCTGTATTATCGAAAACAGAGGAGCCGGACAAACTCGAAGGACGTATCGTCTTTGAGGTGATTGTGGACGAAGGTGCCCTGGATTTCTGATATACATTTTGCTCATTGACATATCATGGGGCACCCTTAGACATGTTTAATGAAGTTGGAACTATGCACGGCGGTTGTTTGGCCATGCTAATTGAAATGCATGTTTCTTCTACTCAGGTTTATCTGGAGCTAATATGCACGCGCAGCTGCTCGCCAATGCCCATTTATATTCTTGGGGCTTCGACTGGCGCTTGTGGCACATTCGGCGTACAACAGTCTTTGAATATTGTGTTCCACTCACCAGCAGTGCCGTACGTTTAAATGGCACATTAATTGTTTTTTGCTGAACTATCAAGTCAGGGGCGACAAGCTACGCATCGTGTGCACGACACTTACCCTTGGTAGCCGTGCACGCTCGGGTCGTTGTGAAGTGAGATGCTGAGCTCTCGTTGCCTTATTAATATTAGCTTATGTTTGGCTTCGACAGGTATGGAATGTAACGCGACACCGATTAGTTGCATCAGCTGTATACATCAACATGGTTCCATCTGAATCGTCCAAACTCTGACCTTTTGTTCATGTCAGTCATGTCGAGTCTTTACGCACCATAATCACCATCATACATGACTACTTGGAATTTAAAGTCCACTTATTCCATGTACAATAATGTAGTAATCCGCATGATGTGATATTCAAGGGGTATCCAGAGAAATAACCCAAACGTATAAATGAGTGTTATCATGATGTATGTAGCGCAAATGAATGTTTGAAGATCAAGTCCACGATCTTGAATGATAAGCAGCCCAAGTGAATTCATCTCTTCCAAGTGTTTGTATCGGAGGTCATGAAGGGACCAGCCTGAATTGTCCCTGCGCCAATAGATCTCAATATGTCCATCCTCCTGTCCTCCCATGCCTTGAGCGCTTTGAGAAGCTGTAATATTTTGTCGCGTTTCCCTTGTCGGACGTCGTTGATGCTTACACTGCCCATTTTTACGTCGTTGTCAAGGAGGAAGTCAAACAGACGGAATAGCCCGTCCAGCTTGTCATCGCCAGGGCCAGACGGGAATGCCGAATCTAGCACGGGGGGTGAGGGTGATTTCCCTAAAACTGATTCCGAGAGACGAAGAAGGGCAAGACCGCTGAAAAGATGGGTAGTGGGATCGTAATTTTGCAACGCAGCTGGCAAGTGTGAATTAGCCCATTCAACTAGACCCGCGTCAGAAGAGTTCAGCTGTACAAGGTTCATAAGGTCAGTAACACAACGCACGGAGAAGGCAGTGGACAAACCGCGGTAGTTGGTGAAGGGCGCGCCTCTCTAGTCGGGCGGGGAGGAGCTTGGTTTGCTATAGATGATAGTTTGGATTGGTCTTCAGACTGGTCTGAAATAGATTGCTGAATCAAGAAGGAATCAAGACGCGTTCGTTCGCCATCTTGTGCGTCCGACGAGGGTAAACCCATCAGGACGCGAGCATCACGAGTAGATAGCTGATTTGGATTCTCGCGGCGCAATGCCTTTTGTGTCGCATCGCGAGCGGTAGGAGATGGCGGTCGGGGGGCGGGGTTCATCGCCTGGGCGACTGTTAGAGGGATAGTGGGAATGTTGACAGAAGAAACAACAGGTTCTGTTTAATAGAATGTTAGACAAGCGACCGAAGATGATGGCTCAGACCTACTCGAGTAGTCTCTGCCAATGGTGGCCTTCATGATCGCTTTCATCCACTCGCGTACCACGATTTGCTCATCAGAGCTGAAGTAATGTGTCTTGTCAGTGTCGTGCACTATCCTGAAGCCATAACGTCCTGGATCGACGTTCTCGTCCGCAATAACCTTGTATCCGACGATATTGATGTAGCCCTTGATCTTCACCTCCTGAACATCGTGCATCAGTGTATGACTTCGTGATTAAGTAGACTTCACCCCACCATCTTAGTGTCACTCCGCAGGATGTACAGATGTGGGCCCTTGATAACGAAGTACCGCACCTTCCAGGCATTGTAATGGTCGCCTTTCTTGCGCATCCATCCTTGGTGATCAGGGATGCCGATCTGGTCAATGATACTCTTTCCTGGCTTGAACGTAGGACCTCGAGACTGGCTCTCGGGACCATCGTGTTTTTTCAATACCGTCGGGGACTCTTTCTCTTTCAGGGTTTGACTATCCGCATCCTTGCCTCTCAGCTTCTCAAGTGTCTTCTCCTTTTCCCTCAACTTTCTCTTCTCCTCCAGAGAATCGCTGTGCGAGGGATTGCGAAGAGTGCTGGAAACCGATCCGTCTGACGTTGATGGGCGAGCCGATGACTTCTTGCTGCTGCCGTACAGCCGGGAAAGATTGAGACTCGAAGGTTTCTCCATTGGGCTTTCGTTGTCAATCAACGACCTGTTTTGAAGTGAGTGGTTGAGCAAACTATATAAAAGCTCGATGCGTACGGACTGATCCTTGGGGGAGGCTTCCTGGCCCTCCCAAGGGAAGTGGAGAAAGTGGTGCCGAACAAACTATGCCGCTCTGTGCCCTTCGTCGTACCGTCCCGTTTATTCCGGCTATGCTTGCTACCAATACTGGAGTCGTCCAGCAGCTCCCGTTTTCGGGATGATCTGGGTGGTGTTACCGCCAACGCCAAGGGCACTGAGGTCGGGAGTGCGGTGGTAGAATTGTTGTTGGAATTGGAGGAAGTGTCGCACTTCTCCTTTGCGGTAGACGTGGACTCTGTGGAACGGCTAAAGAGGTGCCGGCGTTGTTTGGCGGCAGATAGTACATTTTCTCCCTGCCCAAAAGGTTAAATTGATGCTACTTACAGTAGAAATATATGAAATCACCTCGCTCAAGGCGCCGCGATCATCGTCTTGCAACTCTTCAGGCTCACGTGCGTCCTCTCGAGATCGTTGGTTCAAGGCACCATCACTAGGTGATAATACAAGTTGACCCGACGCTGTACGCTAATGATGCGTGAGCAATAGAATCAACAGTAGAAGATGAAATACCAACCTTGTGTTCGTTACCGTTCGGCGGGACCCTGAGGCCGAGACCCACCGCACTAGACGAGACATGATTGTCCAGCGAGCCTCCAATGATGCTAGCACCAGTGCTCGATAAACTAGATACTCTTTCTGCGAATTGGCTCATGTCTGCAGCTGGACTCTCGGTGGTGCTCATCGAACCAAACGTCGCTGAGTTTGGCGCAGTAAGAGCTGAGCTCACGGTTGTCGCGAACATGGGGCTGTTCAAAGACTGATGAGTCGAGCCAGAACGCGAGTGCGTGTAGGAATATGAATGGGAGTGCGACAATGACTGAGGATGTTGTGGCGACTGGACATCTGGGAAGATAATTGATAGAGGTCGTCGTAGTTCGGCAATAGCGTTGGCAATGCGCATACGCTTCCCAAATGCGACAATGCCAATTTCAGCCTTGAGGAGGTTAATGTCAAGCTCTAGTAGAACATCGCCTGTGATCTCTTGTTCTAAGGAGTACGAGATTAGTTCAAGTTATACAACAAAAAGACGAAATTTACCTATGAACTTATCACAGATGTCCTGGCCAAAACTCTTAGACTTTAGCCAGTCAACAACTTCTTCAACGCTCCACTCCGATGGAGAAACTGGCTTCACCAGACTACTTTCCCGTGTGAGTTCAGGCGACATCTGTGGCATGGAAGTGGTAGAGACTTGACCGCTGGATGCAACACTAAGGTGCTTGGACGTCGGTGGTGGGCTCACTACACGTGGGATGGGGGAGGAAGCAGCATTGGAAACTGGGCGAATCACAGGCGTGGGAGCAGCGTGGGTGGTGGGTTGACTGGGTTCCGGGGAAGCAGGTAACTGTATGGAGGATGGCTCGACGGCAAGAACAGGTGCAGGTGCAAATATGTTAACCATAGGAGATACGGGAGCGGACCGGGATTGAGATCCGTTGCGTTCACGACCAGTAGGCGCTGGGGAGATTGCGCGAGTGGTTGAGGTAACAGAAAATGACGTCTTATGAACTTTGGCTGTTTGTTCACCATCATTGGATAAAAGGGATGGCAAAGCTTGCAAGGGGAGTGTCATAGGTGAAGCCATACTCAAGTTCCTCCTCCTGTGATTCAGAGTTACTGCGCCATCGTTGTTATTATCTTCCTCATCTTCCTCAGGAATATGGGGATGATCACGTGCCACCCGGTGTACATTCTGAAATGTGTCGTCCACCTCTTCTGCCTCACTCTCATCACTCATTTCGATGTCTATCGGAGGAGCGAGCGAGCGGATATCCACTCCTGCAGCGGCCTTCGCTTCCACGACTTTACGTGCCTGTTCTGCAAGCTTGTCTCGAGCACTACGGTGCCAGTCCTCTCCATCCTCCCGTAAGCTGGAATCTCCGTCGGTTTCTGTATCCGTGTCTCCGCGCCGAGTGCTAGCGAAGCTGAAGCTGCGAGTTCCATCCCGATCATCTCGGCCAAGCTGCTCGATAGCCTTCTGGACGTCTGTCATAGTAGCATGCATAACTTCCTCCTGATGTGTTGAAGGTGGTTCGCCAAGGGCGACACCAATGTTGGACTCAGCGTCGCTACCGATGAATGAAGCTGCCTCTTCATCAACTGTCTGTAATATGTCGGGAGGCTCATTTATGGAAGGGCCAGCGGTGGATTCTGGTGAAGATGAACGTGGAGGAGCAGGGGCAGGGGCAGCCGGTGTAGTATAGCTTTTGGGAAACAGGCCAATTTTACCTGCGAGATTGCGTCCCTGGTAATAAAGTGCGTGCATGAGTTAATATCATGGAACGAAACAACAAATGCAATTGAATTCGACAGAGCGTAGGGCATGGCGGAGTTTATGTGGGCTGAAACTGCGCTGCAGAGTTGTACATGCCTACATACACACGGTGCGCAAGGTGAAAGAGTTAGGCAGTACCCACCTGCCACCAGCCATCGCTGTATTGATCATCTCTCTCTATGACCTCGATGGGCTCACCCGCACGGAAGTCAACTTCGTCCTCGTTTTCGGGCTGAAAGTCGTGAAGTGCATATACATAGTCTGGCATTGTACCGATAGAATTTGTTGCAGGCGGACGATCTGCTGCCGAAAATGATAGTCAAAAAGCTCCTGAAGTGATGCGTATCTATGAATTAGCGAGAGTTAGCGGGATACGTAGCAGGGACGGACGGCGGAAATATGACACCTGTCAATTGGAAAGGTCAGTAGGTAGTAGTATAGATGAGAGAGTTGGTTGTGGCAAGTTGTGCTGAGTGAGCCGATACCACGACCCGTTCGTTGAGATTCCACGAGCCCGTCAACGTTAACCTCGATGAGAACAACTACCAGCAGTGCTAGTACTTGCGAATACAACCCGAACCAGCTCACACCTGGCTATGATGACTCAGCAATATAGTTCAGTGGGTAACTTTATGGCATCATCCAAGAAGCTAATACAAGTTGGCCATGTCAGACTATCCAATACTATCTCGACAGCAGGCATATAATTATTCGGTGTTGCAGCTTAAATAAGAGCGTAAATTTTCCAGTGGTTGATTGAGCCAGTTTCCGATTAACTCCCGTTGTATCAAAATGGCATCTAAGCGCTTGAGTAGAACTGCTTCTTCTGCTATCACAATGGCCACCAAGCGCTTGAGTAGGTCTCGATTGTTTTAGCCATGCTCAATGTATCCTGATGATATTCTATCAGCATTCGTAACTGGAAACCATAATAAATTGAAGGAGACCAAGCATATTTTATCTCAAGGAACGCCAATAGAATTAGACTCGCAAGACCTAGATAGCAAGTTTTTCTAATCAAATGCTTATTTACCCGCTGATTAAACACTCAAGTACCCGAACTGCAGGGCACCACCCAAGAAGTCGCCATAGCAAAATGCCGTCGTGCAGCTGAGCTGGTCAGTCATTCCTTGAATCTGAATTTATAGATCTGCCTCCCCACTGCAATGCTTATACCTTCTGGCAGCTGGGGAAGCCATGCATAACGGAGGATACCTCATTGTGCTTCGTAGCGTATAACGGGCTACCTGGCCCATACATCAAGCACTTTATGAAAACACTCGGTCACGAAGGTCGGTGGGTGCAGAGGCATCCTACTAAACAAGACTTTCTGAATGTGTCACCTGAGTAGGCTTGAATAACATGCTCGTAGGATTCCCGACGAAAGACGCGTATGCACTCTGTACTTTCGCTTATAGCGCTGGTCCGGGCACTGAGCCGATCCTCTTCGAGGGCCGCACAGACGGTACCATCGTCCCTGCAAGGGGACCAGGCGATTTCGGGTGGGACCCCATCTTCCAACCAAAAGGTTTTGATCAAACGTGAGGCTCTCTCATTTTTTTTTGCTCCGTTGGTCAAGATACTGAAATTGGGACGAAGCTACGCCGAAATGAGCAAGGAACAGAAGAATGTCATTTCTCACCGATACCGTGCACTGGTTAAACTCAGGGTATATTTGGCAACCCTCAATGCTGAGAACAACTTCTAGAAAGCTGCTTCTTTGCAGGGTAGTCAGAATCCAATATACAATTGGCTGTGCGATAAGATATATCTTACATACATCTGGAGTTCTTAGATCCGAATCCCTGACTTGTAGTAAAAATGATGTACATTCTACTTCAAGTATCACTTCATGGGCGCAAATTTGATAGGGTCCATGTCATTATAGGTCAGCGTGCTATTACATAGCTTCACATGCTATCCAAGGCGCCGGCCAGGGCCAAAAAAACAGCGTCAAGTCAGTATTATGGTGTTGGTAGACACACGCTCCGCGATTGCATTCAACTCCGGTTCGAACAGTTTCTTATCTCCCTTCCAATTTATCTTGGGCGGCAAGTCATTTTTGTGAGATCAACTCCCCAGGGGCGCCGTGCCTCGAAGAGAAATTCATCAACGGACCATAGAACATAAATTTTGTAAGCAGTATGTACTACTATGCACCTGCTCATAATATGCTAGGATACGACTTGCGAAAGCTGTAACATTTCATGGTCGTGTATATACATTGTACGTAGAGTTTGTGCGATCTATTGCCACTATCATGAGGCTGATAATAAGGTTTCTGATCCGGATTCCCGACTCCCGATTTCCGATACAACTTTTTTGAGTGATCGAGCAACAAGCCGAGCGCACACGCTTCACATCACCAGCCCCCTAGTGCATACCCACATTTTGACACCACGAGGAGGAACCCATTTTGCTTCCCAATTATTTCACTGGACACAAATTTCTATCCAATAGCAACGCGAGAAATCCTGGCGAATATTCCAGATCCATGTCCATCCATACCCCAAGAAAGAAGGCCAGGATCCGTCTGGATGACGATGTATCCTCCGTAAAAACACGCCCAGCGAACACCCTGCAAAAACAGCGCGAGCAACTTCCAATAGCACGGGGTAAGTAGCATATCCATCTATCATGCGAAATTCTGCTCAGCATCTTTGGCAGGACGGGAAGCTCTCATCCGCGAAATACAGGAAAATGACACAACGATTTTACTAGGAGAGACAGGATCAGGAAAAACCACTCGTGCGTCTCTTAGTCATCATGTAACTGCTATTGCGCCTCATGACTCTATCTTAAGTACAGAAGTCCCTCAATACATCCTCGAATCGGGCATCGCAGGCAAGGGCATGATTGCTGTCACCCAACCACGTCGAGTAGCAGCAACATCTCTCGCCGCTCGCGTAGCCGAAGAGAAAAATGTCTCTGTCGGTGGACTTGTTGGATATTCCGTGAGGTTCGACGAGGCTTCTAGCTCCGACACCCGCATAAAATATGTCAGTGACGGTATGCTCGTGCGGGAGCTGCTGTCGGATCAGTTGCTGTCGAAATACAGCGTTATAGTCGTAGACGAAGCGCACGAACGAACCCTTCGGACGGATTTCCTCATAGCAAACCTGAAAACGATACAGGCCGCTAGAAATAGCGCGGGCGATGTCAGTAGGAAGGGAAAGGGACCTGCGTCAGCCCTTAACCCGTTAAAGCTCATTATCATGAGTGCAACACTTGATGCCGAAAAGTTCAGCAAGTTCTATAACAAGTTGGTGCATTACTGCGCATGTGATGCACGTGCTTATGGCAATTTCAGTGCTCGAATACTCTATGTCAAGGGTCGACAACATCCTGTCCAGATATTCCACACATCTGTCAGCCAGACAGATTATGTTGATGCTGCTCTACGGACGTTCTTCCAAATCCATACTGATAGACCTCCAGGAGACGTCCTTATATTTCTTCCAGGTCAGTGTGTTAATTTGCTGGAATCATGCTAACTTCCGATATCATATAGGTCAAGAGGATATCGAAAGTTTAGACAAATCGATAAAAATGTATGCTCGTAGACTTCCTGAGGAGCGTATGACTGTACGACATTATTACGTTTTGATGACTCTCGTTCTCACCGGTCTTCATCTAGGTTCTAACATGCCCAATGTATGCTGCCTTGCCGCCTGCGCAGCAGGCTAGAATATTTTCGTCCGCCCCTACAAACGTTCGGAAATGTATTCTTGCTACTAACATCGCCGAGACGTCCATCACGATACCTGGAATAAAATACGTAATCGATACCGGCAAGTGTAAGGAAAAAAGATATTTGTCAAAGGATACAGGTGGAGGTAATGGGGGTGACTGTCCATTTGAGTTCACAACTGACTGTTTCGGTAGGTTTTGATACCCTGTTAACTCGAGATATCACAAAGTCGTCTGCTATGCAGCGGGCTGGTCGCGCCGGTCGCGAAGTATGCCCTGAACCTTGTCTCTCTTGATACCTCTAACGCGAAGTAGGGTCCAGGGTTTTGTTTCCGCCTGTACACAGAAGATGCATTCAATTCTATGGCACTTTCCGCAGAGCCCGAAATTCGCCGATGCAGCTTAACCCAGAGCGTCTTACAATTGAAATGCCTCGGTCAAGACTTTGAAGCGGTCGATTTCATGGATCCTCCCGAGATTGGGTCAGGTACGACCCCCTGACATACCTCCATAACCAACCCTGACTTTTTTCAGTCATTTCCGCACTCAAAACTCTCTGGCTTCTTGGTGCGCTAGACAACTCCAAGACTCTAACCACATTGGGACGTCAAATGGCATCCTTCCCTGTGGAGCCGTACTTCGCGCGTATCATCCTCGCATCCAAAACCCACGGCTGCACCTCCGAGGTAATAGACATCGTGTCCCTTCTCTCATCCTCTTCTGCGCTCTTCCTCGATATCTCCGACCAGCGCGATACCATTTCAGAAGTTCGGGTCAAGTTTCGTCATGCGAGTGGGGACCACATGACGATGCTTAATGCCCTCCGATCATACCAAGAGGTTGCCGCATCTGATAGCAAGGGTGCAAGAAAAGAATGGTGTCGCCAGCACTTTGTGAACGAAAGAACGTTCGTGGAGGCGACGAAGATTCGAGATCAGCTGAGACAGACATGCCAGCGAGTTGGCATCGACTGGCATGCTTCTACGGCAGATAATGAGGAACCAGTGTTAAGATGTTTTGTCACTGGCCTCGTTCAGCAGTCGGCATTTTTACAGCCGGATGGAACGTACAAGCAAACGATGGGTCATTCTGTGAGTTTCACCCCTCGTTTTGTGAACTCAAAAGATCGAATGTGCACAAGGTCATCAAAATTCATCCGGGTTCCACGCTCTGCGACAAAAAAGTACCCGCTATCATCTACGATGAGCTTGTGTGTGGTCGTTTTTTTTTTCTTTTGTTCACGGTTAAAGCTTATGGCGCAGGTCTACACAAGCCAGATTTATGCGAGGGGTGTGTCCTCTGTTCCAAAGAGCTTCTTTAGTAACGTCACACCAGTAGCGAGGGAAGCATAGCGTAGGCACGTGTTTTCCCGTACACTCATATGATCTAGCACAGGGTGTAGCATACCGTACGTTTGAATTAGCCATTTTTATACATCTCAGAAGCACACGCGTTTCCCATCCTAGATTCGTCCCAGACTCATGCATCTGTCGAGACTCCGAGGGGCGCAACATTTCCAAGCCTTATTTCCAATAGACTTTACCGACTGGTTCTTGGATCAGCGTTGTGGGTGATACTTATACACATGCTACTATTGGTCGACCATGGATTAAAGCCGATAGACCAGATGCTCAATTTTTTTTCTTAATACTTCTATCTGCTTGCGGAGCTGGACAAACAACAGGCCTTTTACGATCATCCTATTCGGGCCGAACAAGGACGGAATACCCCCAGGATGACTCAGAAGTTCGTTGCTTCCGACAATCTCCCTCAACTCGCGACTATCGCACATTTTCTGATACACTGTACAGTTTTGTATTTATACAGATCATGATCACGACAACTATCCACTGGGCATACACCAGCCGCGACATGTGGGCAGACATACTGATCTATTACTGTTTGACAGGTGCATATGGCGGTGTCCACTGGCAGGGCAGACTCGGAGCGCCTTCGATGCCATTAAAGGGTATTCAAGTTCGCCCGACCAAGGTATCGTAATAAGCGGGACCCTTTTGTTTGTCCAGCTCCGTAAGTAGTAAATAGAAGCGAAAAAAAATGAAATCTGATCCTATTGATATGAAAGGAGCTGTAATAGCACGAGGGCTTGATGTATGAGACGTGCCGTATACCAGGGCTGGCTTGATGGTGGGGAAAGTGGAACCCACTGAGATGACTCTGATCCAATTACGACCTGGAGATGTGATCTAAACGCCTCGAGGCCAGAGACTGCCTTGGCACGATGGGTTTAAACTCAAGGTAGAAGTCCTCGCGGCTCTAACTCTCCAGTGGGTCCAGGGGAGATGCGCTGAAATGAAACTCGCTACTTGAATCATGTTGAACTACAATTGGAGATACTCCGCGATCCTCGGGCCTGGAGCATGGAAGCAACATATCATTTCACAACGGGAGACTCACATATGTTCGGATCTTGTCGCATGTAAGGTGTTGTTAAGAAGATATTTTACCATCAGCTCCATTAGTACGACAAAATCGGTTATATTCGGGCGAATTATAACGATGCAACGTCGTCGACCCGCGATTAGAAAGTACAACATGGGGCAATAACAATCGAAACACGATAGCAGGCAAGCGACACGACAATGACACAATAGCAGGCATAGAGCAGCGATAAGGAATGCAAGCAGACGGTCAGTGGCGACTCGCGAGATGAGAGGATCCAATGGCAGTGAGGACCGTAATACAGGAGAGCGATAGGACAGGAAAAGACTGCCAGCGAGGCGAAGCTAGTACATAGCACCATCGACGATGCTGCTGTTCTTCGTTCACAGTCCGTCTTTTTCCTAAGGGATATTTGTTAGACTAGATAATACAATGAGCGGACCATCGACGATGTCGCTGTTAGTGAGAGAGGAATATTTATAGGGTCCATAGTCTTTGAAGGGGATGGTGGCGGCAGCTTCGAAAGAGTCTTAGAGATATTGAGCACACCAGTGGTTGTCAATATGGCTCATTTTATAACCTTTGCGGCCGACGGGTCATGTGGTGAGTGACATTATACTGAAGGAAGGCGGCAGCAGACAAGCTGTTGGGAAGTTGGTGGAGAGAGTCCCCCAAGTATTTTGACTCTGGGTGTTACTAGTAGTTTCTGAACTCGAACAAAAAACCGCGTGATATTGCGCGAGAAATGAAGCCTCGCAGAGTAAGTTGTGTGACACCGAACGACGCATGCATTGAAGTCATCGAAACATTGACAGAATGATGTAGGATTGTGTTGCACACATGCATAAAGGAATTGACAACTCGGAGAACAATTTGGACGTGTGTGTTGACGAAAACACGATCGACGTAACGAGCAACGCAATGCACGATGTGATGTTTATGGCACAGGTGTTGTTGAAGATTACATAATATTACAAGATAAATCATATGTCTAAACAATATTTACACTATACTGACCGTTTTGGCCATGCCCAGTTTTCACTGGGAAGCTTCATCTCTCTCTCGCTGTTCAATCGAAATACTATGGACATCCTTGAATGTTCCCTGCTAAACGGGAAATGGGACTCCAAACTCGATACAGAGCTGGAGTCGCGTCCTGCAATTGCAATGCTCGCAAAGGATGTCATCGATGGTAAATTTCGGGAAGTGCTAACCTCACTTTGGGCCCGAGCATTTTTCAGGGCATCTGGGTTGCAGGATAACAGCTATGAAGAATCTTTCTCTTGGCAGTCACCATCTGTGACAGATGAAGCAGAAAAAGAACTCATCCAGGTCGTTCTGGCTGTCGCATCTTTACATGCTTTCATCCAAGCAAACTGGACTGGTCCGGACCTCGATATCAACCCATCGGAAGTGATCGTTGACGTGATGAACCCAACCTTGATTTCTGATGAGGCCCTCGATATGAAGGCGGTGTCCGAGCTTGCTTACGGCGGTGAGCCTGCTTACCACCTCGCACAACATGCCACCTTTTTGCGTCTCGCCCAACTCATTTTCGCCTTGCCATATCGTCACTGTATATCCGTTTGTTGGTGGCGGTTACGTACAATGATCATCCACGAGCAGTTATTGGACGAGGCAGTGCCTCTTCCAACAGACGCCCATGATTCATTGGGGTCTCTATTGCAAACCCTTACGGGAGATACAGGGGATCGCGATCTTGCTGGCCGTCTGCAGTTAGAACAGGGTCGACTTGAACATATTTTTTGCCATGACAAAGCCGCTTCCGATCGTTTTGTTCAAGCGGCACGTGCTACGGGATTACAGTATGAACTCACGGGAGCTCTTGGGAGACGAACAAAGTTTCAACAAAATGATCTTAGCCAATTGGTGCTACTCGCAGAGAGTCGGAAAAGGAATGGCTCCCCCGCCGAAGCCATACCCGATGATCTTGTTGATCAATCGTGTACGCCTGATGACATATCCAACATGACATATTTCAATCTTCCTGTTACCTTGGGATTGAATGACGACACGCTTCTTGAGCAGACTATATTCACATCATCTGCTCCCTCATCCACAACAAGTCAGCTGAGCCATCTAGATCCCGTTTCACAACCCCCTTTACACCCGCTCGATCAGTGTATACTTCTGTCGCTTTGCCTCAATGTACGGAATACGTCTCCTTCGCACGGCCTCACAAGCGAACAGATGTCCCCTTATGTCGCTCGTGTCATATCGCATCCAAAGAACTGGTCAGTTCACACTATGGCTCTGCTTCTGCGGTCCCGTCTAGAGTCTGGACGTACACGGACTGTTGAGCGTTCAGTGCTCCAGCTCCAAGCCCTCGTAGACCAGATGCCAACCGCTGATTCCCCCCTACCGGAACGGCTGCTTTACTTTCATTCAATACCGCTTCCAAGCAAGTGGGAAATGGAACGCGAGCTGGCATTACGTTTCCTCACTCTAGGGGTGGTAAAGTCAGCCTTAGAAATCTTTGAACGCCTTGAGATGTGGGAGGAGGTGGTTAAATGCTGGCAATCTATGGAGATGACGGACAAAGCAATTGCCATTGTCCGCGATTTACTTGAAGGACGCAAAGAGGAAGCAGAGAGTGTGATTTTGCGGGGTAAAGATTTACCTTCGCCGCGGCGCGGCAAACTAGATTCGGCACGACAGGCAAAGCTGTGGTGCCTCTTAGGAGATCTGGAACCGGATAATGCAGTGGGGCATTATGAGCGTGCATGGGCGCTGTCAAAGGAGACTTCCGCCCGTGCAATGCGGTCTCTTGGAGGCTACTACTTCGCACGCGGAGAATTCCAGAAGGCCATTTCCTGTTTGCAGCGTGCGGTGAAAATCAATCCGTTGTTATCCCGTTCTTGGTTTATCCTAGGGTGTACCTATATTCGTCTCGAAAATTGGGAGGGGGCCCGAGATTCATTTAGTCGATGTGTTTCTATCGACGATGAAGACGGAGAGAGCTGGAATAATTTGGCTAGCATGTACCTCCGTTTGGATTCTTCCCAGAATATCCTCGAATCGGATGTGAGTGGGGTAAGTGGGGATGAATCTTCTTCACCCTATACGAACTCAAGTTTATGTTTAGGAAAACCAGCCTAGCAAAGCCAAATCTTTCTCAAACAGGATGCTGGCTTTCCGTGCATTAAAACAGGGCTTAAAATACAGCTACGACAATTGGCGCATGTGGACAAATTACATGATTGTCGCCATGGATGTTGGGGAGTTATCAGAGGCATGCCGTGCACTAACGCGTATTGTTGAAGAACGGAGTGCAAAAACCGGTGCAGAATGTGTCGACGAAGAAGTTCTTGAGCGCTTGGTAAATGCCGTTACCAGGGTGCCGGCTGGCCTCGATCAGTCAGCTGGGGATGAAGATAGGAGACGGGATGCTGTAAATAATCCTAACGAGGGCCACGGGCTGCTCAGGAGGGTACTGGACCTTTTTGACCGAACCATTCTTCCCCGCGTATCTTCACCTCGCATCTTCCGCGCCTACGCACGTCTTCTGACTTTTCAATCACGATGGGAAGATGCATTGAAAGCCTACCTGGATTGGTATCGCTGTAGCGTGGCCGGAACGTTCGAGAAAGGAGAGACTGACGCTGAGAAGTGGCGAGAAGCTGTAAATGAAGTCGAGGACGTGGTGGATGTACTGAAAAATTTTGGGCCGCGGGTACAAGGCACCAACTGGAGACACCAGGCGCGTAGTATCGTTCGGACGTTCATGGGACGCTCCAAAGACTTCGACGACCAGGCAGAGTGGTCACGCCTTGTAGAGTTTCAAAGCGAGCTGCGTACTGAAGAGTAGAAGTAGTTGAATGATATTGCATTGACAATATGGAAAAGCAGACGCTGATGAGTATGAGATGACTGTGTTCGATACACGTATTGCGAGGTATGTGACGTGAGGGTAGTTAAAACACAGTAGCATGCGGGTGGGAGTCCAAGGCGAAATGAGGATTAAACGTGGTATATTACATAGGTGAATCATGAAGGGAAAAATGTTACAGCTTCCAGTCTAAATTCAGGGCGATGCGATTCAGAAACAAAGTGGTCAAAATTTCAGTGACCATGGTAAGGCCTGAATGCTTGATCGTCAGACGAGCACCGAAGACATCTTCTGGCTGACTGAGCTCCCACGTAGCAACTGTAGAGCGTCCATCTAGGCACTGAAATCCGATGAGCAAAACGAAAGGCACGAAAGCTAGCAACATCCTACCTCCATCTTCTGAGGAAAAACTTTCCACTTCAGCTCTTTACCATTCTGCGCTGTAAAATAGCGCGATCTATGATTGTTTTGAATTATGTTTCAACGACACGACATTCACAACACCTACGTGCTAGCATCTTTCTTATGGCGTAGGTGATTGACCATGGCGACCTCCGGCCCATTACCATACACGAGGTATCCTGGTGTTTTGGATGGGCCGAAATACAAGTAAGAATTGCTGGGACCCATGATTTCTGGGTGCTGCTGGCTCCAAGCCGCTTCGCGAGCGATGTGAACGATTAAATTTACTTTTCTGTCAACCTTTGGAATGTCATGTTAGAGGACGCTGAACGCTGGGCCTCAGACATTGTTACCGTCGTCCTAAGTTTCGACCGTCACAAATTAAATTTAGGCCGAGAGCGTCGAAAGAGTCACATACATCGTGAACGCTGGCCTACTCTCGAGATCCTCAAATCGATGGTTGAAGAGATCTGATCCGAATTGGAGGAGGACGTATGAGCCAGACATGACGGAAATGTGGAAGAAAGATGTGGGTTCTGGGTCGTTACATTCCAGTCACTCAGATGTAGCTTACCTTTTCAACACACAAGAGCATGCTAGATTGGGAATAAGAGATTTTTAGGCACGGCCACAAAGAAGCCCACGTAAAGAGGCCCACGTGGCTCCTCGTGGCTCCTGCTTCATTTTAGCAGCCGAACCGGGCATTTCATTGATCCCCTTGGCCTCAGGGCCTCTGCCAGTCTTCCACACTTTTTAAGTGCGATGGGCAAACGGCTCTTATTCTAGGTTATCAAGTGAAACATTAAATTATGCCAAGGTCATCTGTGGATATTAATCATGCACGACCTTCGTGTGTCTGCAAGTGTATGCAAACTACAATAGTGCTCCTGAGAAGAAACCCAGTAAACAGGTCAAGGTTCACCGATGACTAGCGAGCTCCACTTCTACGTACTGACATCGATAAGCTCATTCCCAAAACGATAAGGAATGACACACGTGGATAAAGGTCTGAACCATCGGACGGAAAAGCGAATTGTCCGTTCAGTCATACACTGTTAATTAGATGAGGATTATTACCACCGATCCGCTTGTCCGAGGATTCTAGCATTTCGTACCATGTATAATGCCTGGCGAGTCAGGTTTGCGTAAATACGCGTAGAACGGCGAAAAAGCTTTAAGTGCGCACCGTAAAACAATGTCCATACAAGAATAAATGTAAAGATGTTATCTTGACCAGGGTTCACCAGCTCCCCAAGTCCACCAGGCAGGTATTTTGCGGGTTTCCCTCTGCAGTTTATGGCATAAATGATAAATGAGGTTGAAACGATGGATGCTATAAAGAGTGCGAATCCCAGCCAGTTCTCTAGTCCGAGGATTCCTGCAACTGCACCGGCGAAGCAAAAGGATAGGAATTTGACAGATGTTAACGCTTGATTGTGCAGGACATTTGGTGCAAATATAAGCTGGGCTGCATTATCTGTAGTTGTTGCCATCGACGACGATGTTGAGTGTGAGAGTCGGTCAAGCCAAGCATTACGACTCGGACACCGGAAAGATTATCTCCCACGGTCTTACCGATACCGAACGAGATGATCTATCGTAACATTGCGCCTTTACAAGGTCGAATCAACAGCAGAAGGTTGTCCAACAACTAATACTTCCATCTCTCAGGAGAACTAAAGGTGAAGTCGTCATGTCCAAGAATCCAGATGGAAAACAAATCAAAGTCGGGATTCTTGGTGCGACGGGTACTGTAGGGCAGCGTTTCGTCACCCTACTCGCAAAACACCCGTGGTTCACCATCCATGTACTTGGAGCATCTTCCAGATCGGCTGGGAAGCCATATACGCTGGCCGTTATGTGGAAGCAGACGACGCCAATGCCATCTGTCGTTCGCGATATGATAGTGCGCGAGTGCCATCCAGAGCACTTTGCGGAGTGTGCTATCATCTTCTCTGGTCTTGACGCCGATGCGGCTGGAGATATAGGTACGTTCATAGGCTTATGACCCCTCTTTATCATGGCTTATCTTTACAAATATCAGAATCTGCATTCAGAAGCGCTGATCTTGCTATTTTCTCCAATGCCAAAAATTACCGCAGAGACCCCTCCGTACCTCTGATCGTCCCCCTCGTAAACGACTCACACTTGTCCATCATTCCTCAGCAGCAAGCGCTGCAAAATCCCCCGCTCAAGAAAGGTTTCATCGTCACAAATGCTAATTGTTCTACGACGGGCTACGTTATACCCCTTCGCGCCCTGGAAAAGGCCTTTGGACCCATCGAGTCGTGTCTGGTTACCACTATGCAAGCCATCTCCGGCGCTGGATACCCAGGTGTTTCCAGTCTTGATATCATCGATAACATTGTGCCCTACATTGGTGGCGAAGAAGAGAAAATGGAGTGGGAGACGCTGAAAATTTTGGGAGGGATAGCCGATGGCGATGATGGGATGAAAACCTTTGACATGCACGCACGCCATCCGTTACGTGTATCCGCGTCGTGTAATCGAGTTCCCGTCATCGATGGGCACACCATGTGCGTTTCTGTACGTTTTCAGCAGAGACCTCCTCCTAGCCCACAGCAAGTCCGAGAGGCCCTGGTGGCTTATACTCCAGAGGCGCAATCCATTGGGTGCCCTTCTGTTCCTGTTCATGCCATTTTTGTGCATGAAGAGCCGGACCGCCCTCAGCCTCGGTTAGACCGATATTATCAAGACGGTGCAGGAGTGTCAGTGGGAAGAGTGCGCCAATGTCCCGTTCTTGACATAAAGTTTGTTGTCCTCGCGAACAACGTCTCAATCGGAGCAGCTACCAGCAGTATCATCAACGCGGAGCTCGCGGTGTTGAAAGGGGTTGTAAAGGTGGAGTAACGGGGGCGCTCCCATGCCGTTCAGCCTGAACAACGTGCCAGATCTAGAAGTTCGGCGGTGATGTCTTGCACGATAGTAGAAAGATCAAATAATAGCTTTATGTTACTGCGAGTATATTATGGGCGAAGGCACTGGTAACTGATACAATTGTATACTGCAGGTTAGTGCGATGATGACGTTGATACAGTATTGTAACAAAAATGTGAGCAAAACATCTTGATCAACCAGCTCGGAAGGAACGGTCTCGGGAGACACGGTCACGGTTCAGTTGTACAAAATTCTCGATCATGCGATTCATATGACCCAGTCCTGGAGTCTCGGGAAGCCACTCTCCATTGTTGACGCAAAGAACTTTCATGCGTTCGTGATAATCGAGATCAGGAAGTAGCTTAGGGGTGATCAAGAAGTATTGGGCGCTGTCAGGCTTGCATGTGACCTCAACCAAGGAATTGTGCACCGCGCGCTCGGCGCGTTGATCCATGCCCTTTGGAAAACGTTGTCAGCACTTGACGTATAAACAAGATCAAAAAAGGGGCACCTGGTTAATCTCGTCAACAAGAGAAAACGGCGTTCGGGCCTCTTCAGTCAAACTCATGAGGTATAAGATAGTGGTGAGTGACCGTTCCTGAACACAATGTAAAGATCATGCGCCGAGTAAATTTGACCTTACTTACGCCGCCAGACTGCCTCTGTCCTGTCAGAAGTTGTAACTTCTCGTTATCACGGAATTTGACGAGGATGTCGATCGCCCACTTGTCATAATCGTCATGGGGGCTGATCCGGATTTCACCTGCACAACCAATGCCTGAAAGAGTCGATAAACGTAAATTCATGACGCTCAGCAGGCTTTAACGACTGACGATCAAATGCAGCAGAGAATTTCTTCCCAATGCTAGCGACAAGTTGTTCGAGAGCAGGTTGCCATCGATCCTGACAGAAAACTCAGAAACAAAATTGACAAGCAAGAACACCACCTACTCTGGCATTCTTGATTTCTCGTTCCACTCTGCGAGTATCCTTCTCCCGGTCTTCCAGAATTTTTGTGAGAGCTTCGATCTGTTTATCGTCATCGTAAATGAAGACCTTCATATCAGAGGTGGAGCAGGCAAACCTCATTCTTTCGCCGCTCATACTGCTCAACAACGCCTGGGTTCGTCTGCGAGATCATATCGAGATTGGCGCGTTGAACCTCGAGTGCCTTCCGCAGGTCATTCACGCTCCGGTCGTGAACCGAACCATCCTGTATGGATGTAAGCTATCTCTGCCTTATATTAATTATCACTTCAGGGTCACCCACCATCTCCATCTTGGCAAATTGTTCTTGGAATTCTTCGTCCATGCCCCTGACAAGCTCCAGACTAATGTCCCGTTTACTCTTCGCGTCGGCCTTTGTCGCAATGAATACTTGATCAGCTAGTGTTGGCGGTTACTTCATATCCGCGGACGTTGCAACGAAAGTTTGATGACGAACCTTCTTCGAACTCGGCAAGAGCCCGTTGGTACTTTTCATCCTTCTCTTGGCACAGAACTTCAAGCGCGTTCTTGTTTGCGCCGACCTGGAGAAATTCAAGTCCGCTGCGGGTTGCTTCTACTTGATCAGCAATTGCAGCGCGAATCAGTTGCTGCGGAGAAGATTGTCAATTTTGCTCACGCATTCAGGTTAGAGAAAATTAACCGTGTATTCCTTTACAATCCTAACACGCTTCTTGGATATTTCAAACAACTTCTTCTTGAGCTTCGCTCGTTCATCTTCCACGGAAGGTGCATTCTCAAGATCCTTCAGCTTGTTCTTGTTGGTCTCTGTGGTGCGGTTAGATATGAAAACGGCCGGGCGGTATCAATATGTACCGATTTTAGCCGCGAGCGTAGCCAAACGCCTCTTCTGGTTATTGACGTCCTTCTTTCGTGCCTCGAGTGCGTCCTGCAGACATGATAAATGGCATTAGCTTTCCAACCAGTACAAAAATGACATACAAATGTCTTCTTGAAACGTGCTTCCTCGGACCTGATCTCACGCTCCTCTGCCGCGAGGTTATTTGCATCTTCGTTGATGACTTCAAGAGCCTGCCTGGCCTCCTGGATAGTCTGATCGAGTCTCTTTTTGATCTCAGGGTCGACTGCATCCCTGTAAATATACTCCACAAGAAGGTGCAATGACGAACCACCTACTCGTGCTGTTGACAAGATTCCGAGCTGGACGGAGGTCCTTCGTCATGTTCGCAGCTGCTCGTTTTCCATACCGAGATCGTGAAACCGTGTTCATCACCCTTCCCGCGATGAACTTTGCCCCGCCACCATCTCGAGAAACAGCTTCCATGGCAGCGTTTACATCGACCTTAGAAGCATCCAAACCAATAGCCTAACATCATAAAACTAATCAGCGCATAGTTCTAAATTAAGGATAGTTCACTGACGGTGCGATGCAAATTGACCTCTCGCGTGAGAAACCACAGAAGGCCGTCAGGGCACTCAATCTTGTTGATCGCATAATCATCAAAACCAAGTGCCTTCAACTACAGCAGAACATTAGATCATTCAATGGAGGTAACATGAACATACCTCTGCCTCATTCATGGGAGGAGGGATCAGGTCCACCTTGGGTCTGAACCAGATGTTGATACGCGCGCCCTTTCGGAGCCCGGCTTGTTCACTGTCATTCAAGTAGTTATTGAGGGCAGCATAATCTTCCTCGCATTGCGTAACAAGGATCTGCAAGTCAATCAGCCACCTAATCTAGAAGCGATGGACAGGATGTGGTACAAACCTTGAGCTGATCCTGATTAAAGCATGCCTCTATAGCATCGGTATAGCGTCGATCCGGAACGGTGCAACATATCATGGGGGGCTCAAACACCTCCATCTTGAACTTGTCCTGGTGGTTACGAAGCCACACGACTGCATCAGCCATATCTCTATCCCACCCCCGCAATTTCTCCAGTTTACGATGGCGCTCGTCTTCCAAGTTTTTCAGCCTATGACGAACACGTTATACATGTCCCGTTTTCGATAAAATTGTGTTTCTCACTGGTCCAACGCGCCACTGATGTTCGCCTGTTGGGCGGCAGACGAATCGACATTCTTCCTTTGTCGCTCCTGCAAGTCCTCCATGCGTGTAGTCGTCTGACTGTGCTCCCTGTTGACTTTCCTCTAGAAAATGATCGTTAGCGCATGACACTGCATACTCATGCGGTTCACTGACCATCTCAGCATTGATTGCTTCAATATCTTCTAGTTGGGGTGGGTTATCAAGCTCTTTCTGCCATTTTTCATTGTGCCCCTGGATTTCTTTGATCTTCTTCACGCGCTCCTTCTCTGCCCGTTTGAGACCGTCAAGTCTGCTGGTAACGTCCTCGGCGTCACGTTCCTGAGTGGCTAATGATCAGAAAAGAAACAAAAATGAACCAACAGACGAACAAGCTTGTCATTCTCGCCCCATTTGTTCTTCATCTGCTGGAACTTCTGGCGGGATGCAGTCTTCTTTTTCTCGCGTGCTTTCTCGTATTCCTTGTGCTGAACTGCGAGCTGTCTTGAAGTCTGTGAGTAGATAGACGATAAAACATAAGAGAGAGCATACTCTAGCTTGGCGTGTGCGGGCGCGTTCCTGTCCTTCAGTTTCCGTACCCGGGCGTGCAACTCCCGTTGGCGGTCTTTTGCTTTCTGGTAGCGCTCTTTAGCTTCATGGTATTCGTTAACAGGTATCAACACTTTTAAGACATCAATCTATAACAGTGAATAACAGCGCATAGTAATATTGTGAAGCACATTACTCACATCCTTCTCGATACGCTTGCGCTCTTGATAACGCTGAACGTCTCGCTCAAGTTGGGAATTACGCTCTTGCATCGTCTTCAACCGCTCTTGCTCATCACTGGATTTCTGCAAGGTACCTGTGAATCGAAGACGATGTTAAAGCAGAAAATTCACAAACATCTTGGAGATTCTTAAGCTCCTTGCCAGCGGTAATCAGTGTGTCATGCCAATTCGACAAATTAACATCCCCCGCGGCACGTTGCGTCTCTCTAAGCAACTGCTGCGGAGTCATTTGCGCAAACTCGGAGACCTTGTCCTGAGGCAAGAACGAACTGAAAGCGCACATACACGCAGTCAGAACCAGCGTTTAGCACAGAAAAGGCAAGGTACCATAAATTTCCAACTTGAACATTGAGTTTCGCCATGCGGTTAGTGATTTCCTTTCCAGTACAAGATTGTCCGTTAAGAGTCAGAGTCGAGCTTTTGGACTTGGCGCTCAGGTTGCGTCGAATCACAAGGTTCTTTTGACCCTTTGCACCCTTCAGTTCAATCTCGATGTAGCCACTCTCTTTGCCATGCTTGACAAAGCTAGAAATCTCATTTGCGCGACCAAGGATCTGGTGGAGAAAAATATGAGTTATAAACACAGGGATAACAAAAGACTCACGCTCGGAGGCCAATTGAGTCCGAGACAAATTGCGCAGGCAATACTGCTTTTACCAGTGCCATTGGGACCGAGTATCATGTTGAGGTATGGACCAGGTCGAAATTCCACCCAGTCGTATGTGAGGAAGTTGTGCAACTGAATGCGCACAATTGAACCAGGGATGAAACTAAGATATGATAGTGAGAAACGTAAATAACTGCAATGAATCTTCTGGCATCTCACCCGTCGGCATCACGAGGAAGTGTTGCTACTTGCTCCCTTTTGGGGGTGGAGGGAGCAAAGTCGCCCTCTGCATTGACACGAGTACGCTTGCGGCTTCTTGGCGAGCCGTCCACGTTCTCGGGATCACCATCAGCATCCACATCACCATCAGCGTCGACATCGGCATTGTCATCAGCCTGAGTCTGATCTGACTCTTCATCCAGAGGTTCAGGCTCGATACGCCTTGCCTTGCCTTTCCCTTTCTCGTCTTTTACTTTCTCCTTTTTGACCGAATCCTTGACGCCGTTAGAAAGAGCAGAGTTCTCCTTGAGAGAGTCAGTATCGCCCTCTTGCAGTTCTGCTCTTGTTCGACGAGGCATGTTCGTCGCGCCGGAGGAACGCGTGGGGTTTGGAGGAAGCTGTAGTAATTGACGCGTTTTGAATGTTTGATATTATTTGTCATAGTAGGCGCGACGCGTTTAGGGCCGGGTCTATGGAACTGGAAGCGACTACTCCAACTTGGACTATTGTAGACAATCCTTGAATATCATTAAACGTCGCATTTACCCTTGAGCAGTTACTTGCACTGACTACAACTTTTACACACAGAAATACGCTCAGGAGTTGTTTCCAACGTTCGCCTTACGTAGTCCGCTAGATCCTGATCCGAACTCCCATGAGTATCAGACGGAAAAGTACCACACATGATCTAGCAACTTTACGCCTCCATCCGGACGGATCGCGCGTTCAACAATCGTCTATCAATAGAAGAACACGCACAGCTCCATCAACAGTCCCAGATGCAAGAGGAAATTGGATCGCTCGTGATGCAGGAGGTAAGGCTGCCGTGAGGAGAATTAGAAACGCTGCTGCCAAGGCAGATGATGAGGATGGAGAGTCAATTGATATCCGTCTTTCTGATGAGTTGGGTGAAGATGGATCCACGGTAGGGACAAGTAAGAAAGGTAAAGAAAGGGCAACTGAGAGCGATGGAGAGGATAGTACCAAGGACCGTACCGGCAGGAATTGGAGGGCAAGGAAACGACGCAGTTTCACCGAAGACTTGTCGTTCTTGGCACCCTCACCCCCGCGTCGTGTCTTTCCACCGACAGAATCAACCTCCGAAAGCGACTTCTCATCCTCATCGTCTTCCTCGTCTGATTCCGAATCGGAATCGGAAGAGATCAATATTAAGTTTCCGGACCCATCACCCGTAAGAGTCTATCTTCATTCAATAACATCGGCTTATAATCGGTAGGAGCTGTTAAAATGCATTCACCACTTCGCCAGCCGATACTATCGGGAGAAAGGCGTTTTGTCCGATTTAAGCAGGGGTTACCGAGACGAGAGGAAAACACGGCGCTCCAAAAGTGGTGTGTCCAATATTCACGATCAGTCAACAAAAAAACCGGCGCTGTGGACGAGGGATTCCTCCCTTGATGCTGACGATGATGATCAATGGGAAGATGAGAAATATGAGCTGGAAGATGGGGGAGATGAATGGGAAGACGAAGAAGATGATGGCGAAAACGCTTTCCTCAAGGAAGAACATAAAGATATGTACAAAGCTCTTGACGGCTCAGCTTTGGTCGCAATAGGTATTCAAAATCACCACTCCTCACCACCTCGCTGACCAGTATCCAGGGATAATTCTCCAAGAGCAAATTGCGCATACGATGATTACCGGCTTCTCTGGCACTCATGCACAACATGTGCGACGACGGCACTATTCCATAGAGCGAAGTTCTTCCGTACCTTCGCTCGATTCCGACTAATATCGACATCGCCCGTCCGCGTAGACACGGTAGTATTATATTCCAGCGTAATAAAATATAAGCAAAAAAGATGATAGGACAAACACTACTTTGCTTTCGCTTTCATCCTATTCTTTGGATCTAGCTTCAAAATATAATCCTCTGTCAACGTCCCATCCTCCCACCGCTTCAAAATATTCCCTCTGTATATCCCCATATTCGACCCTCCAAACACTTTGAGCCGTTCCAATCGACGTTCCCGAAGTTTGTTTTTAGGTAACATGCCGGACACTGCGTGTCGTATGATCTACATTCGCGTAGGGCGGGGTAAGCATATGGTCTTGTGCAACGAACCACAAAACGAACCTCATAAGGCTTTTTTTCCATCATATCCTTATACTCGGTCTCTTTCAAACCACCAGGGAACATCGTGTGCTTGCGGTACACCAGTTGTTCGTCTTTACGACCAGTCACCTTGATGTGTTTTGCGTTTGTAACTACGACATAGTCCCCACAGTCCACTAAAATGCAACTGAGTGACAAATTGATGTTTAAAAATGCAGGGAACGTACAGCTTTTGTCGTATATCGGTTTATGCTTGCCCATGAGCACGAGAGCTATTCGTTCCGCCAGTTTTCCGAGAACGCGGTCAGAGGCATTAACATGATGCCATACTCGCGCATAAGCAAGAGCGGTCTATAATCAGCATCGAGTTAGATGTTCGCCTTCGTACATAGAGACAAAATTGCGTACGTTGCCTACTGCTTGAGACATGAAAGTGCTGGTTGAGACTCGGAAGACCTCTGCGTTTCATTTGCGAAGGAGTCACACGTGATGTGGCTATTTTTAGACATGTATGTCAATTTGGATTTCAGCGCCTTACAGTATGTACTGAATCCTATCCGCTCATGTTGTTGCTTTATTTTAATGTTATGTAGTTGTTGCGTTATAAAAAAACGGGTCGAAAGTTTTGCAACACCGGGCCAGAGACAGTAGTATATAGTACACATAGACTTATTCCAAAATTTGTCTCGTAATATTGAAGCAGAACAACGCACTGCAGTTCCTAGTATCGGGCACTACTAGTACTACCGGCCCCCATGGCACACCTCAAGCGAAATACTCTCCTCTACAAGTATGTTGACCGCTTGCCAGTGACCGATTATGATGATTAGTTCCTGGTATAATATGATACAACCAGATCACGCGAGTTCCTTGCCAGAACGTGATGCATTCATTCACCGTCCGATGAGCTCGAGAATTACCAGGTGTCTTGAAAAATCATACTCTCTTTGTCCGTCTGGAAAGTGGTGCACAACAGTTAATTGTACAACCTTCGATATGGAAGGACATCGAGACAATAAATAAGCTCTCCAATAATGCATGCGTATATAAATCCCTTCGACTATTTCTTCCCCCTCCTTTTAGTAGACCCCTTCTGCGGCGTGTCTGTTGCACTAGATGAGACTGTGTGCTCTGGGGCTGCAGGTGCAGACACAGGCTTGGGTGCAGGCTTAGCGGCGCTCTGTGGAGGTGAGGGCTTATGCAAAAAGTTGATGAAAAAAGTCGCAAAACCTCCGCTCATCATGTACATGAGCCATTTCGGCACACGAACAAGAGCGCCGTAGACTATGGACAGAAATTGTGCCAGGTAGTCTAAAATGTATTCACTGAAAATGGGCAGTGAGCGTTGGTGGGATGCTTAAATCTGACCCGTCCTACCGTTCACCACCGGGACCATAGATGGATTTCCATGGCTCCTTGATGCCCCACCCCTCCTCCTTGAGAAATTGGTGTAGGATTTCGTCGGTCAGCCTTATCTGACCGGCTTTGTAAAAACGCAAAGTTTGCCCTCGGTCCTTCAATACAACGAGGTAAGGTGCGCTGATAAAAGGTCAGGGACACGAACACAGTACAAAAACTTTAGATACTCACGACCAGACAGACCATTTAGTAGTGATGCTCGTAACATTGAGATAGTCAATTCGTCCAAAGCGCACATGAGGGAGCTCTCCTTTCTCCAAGGTGTAATTATACGTGGCATCAAAAACCTGGTCTACGAACTTCGAGACACCTTCTGGCTGTCCCGCGGTGACAGTTCTGGTGAGGATGCATTAATTGACGGACTATCAAATACGATATACACACATTATGAGAAACCAGACTCGTTCTTTCTCCTCCTCAGGAGTCAGTGTCTCATTCACAATCATTTCTGCATAGTTCTCATCCGTGATGAGAGGTATCCGCTCATCCCAAGTTGCAGATGGAGTTCCGGTAATGTTGAGACCGATGAGAGAGGATAAAGCGCCTAAAGGCCCTACGGTCACAAGATTGTCGAGGAACGACATCTTCCCTGGCCCATGTTGCGTCGCAGGGGTGGATGGGGAATGTGGGACGTGTGCTGGCGAGGGAGTTTGACTTGGGACTGCTTGTCCTGGGGTCCATCCAGCCGAAAAGTATTGAGCATTGACTAGCCCTGTGAGTGATAGAAAACTGGCAGCGTATGTCAAAGGCCTCATCTCTCAAAATATGTATGTTCGGGTAGAATGGAACAACAAGAAGTACTAATAACACTCCACTAGTTACATAAGGTTGACGAGCGTCTATATTATTCTCATGCCCAGTCACTGAAGTACCTCACCATCACAAGGTCGTTCGCATGAGCTGTTACTAATTTCCTCCTTGCTCTCATGCTTATCGATCGCAGGCAAAACTCCCAGTGTCCCGAGACGTACGCACATCTCGACGTGGACGAAAATGCACGCGTGTAACGTTGTGCCAAGTGTGAATGGGCCTCGGACCGACTGTGGCTGTTCCATTCTTTTTTAAAAAAAGTTGCCTCTGTCAGCTAGCTGGTGCGTGTTCGTGCACAAAAACTGACTACAAAAGTAAATGGTTTGCATGCCACGCGGTGCAATATGCCCGCGGGCTCTTCCGAGCCTCGTTCGGCGCCCTTGTACCATCCAATCCAAGCCTGATTCTAGATTACTTCAACGAGATGAGTCACTTGAAGCTTGCTTCACGATTTCGACGAACTTGTCATAAAATTGTCTTGTGAGTATGTATTAGTCTCCCTAGATGAATCAGGATAGTCCACCTCTGGTTTATTGAGTCTCGAAGTAAACTCATGTCTTGCTGCCGCTAGGAAATTGGACATTTCATCTCATCGCATAACTTCATTCAGATTTAGTTACCTGGCGACCTCGTGATATATAGCTGCAGACCTGACTACGTCTCGGTCTTCGGTGACGAGGAGTCAGTGAGCCCAGTCCCATCTCGGTATAATGACGACGAGAATATTCTGCAGTGACCTCGTCCAATTCCTACATCAGTGAACTGGAGGAAAGATGATAAGAGTATATATGACGATACATAGTACACAATCACAAACATCTGTATAATTCTGCTATCCATCATCACATAGTGATGTTTGACTTTATACAGGAAAGGACAATGCATAAATTTCCTACACCAGCGTTTGATCGGGAGAACACCTACATATCGCTGGAATTCTAACTCGAAAGTGATATGGAGTAAAATCAAAGGGTCGAACTGCATGAGACACTATCGGCACCTCAGAAGTGAATTCCATCGTGTCAAAGTCAGGCGTGAAGGCCTTAATCTTCCGGATGACTACAAGGTGTTTACCAAGTGCACAAGTTTAAATTAATATTCTCGCGCTAATTTTGACGCCCTCTTCTCCAAAAAGTTGATTTTCTTCGAGTATCGTGCAACGTCCCAAGCCAGACCAAAAAACTCGTGTTTTGCAGAGTACCACGAAGTGTTTACGAAGTGCAAACTGATGCCTTGTGCGAATTTTAACGCCACCTTCTTTAAATTGTTCATGTTTGTCTACTATATATCAATTGCGAATTTGTGCAAAGAAGTGCCACTTTCGTATCGCAGCCGGAATGTGTCCATCAAGCAAACATATACAACGTACAGCTTACTTCAAATTGTCACGCGAAATCGTATGAATACCCAACAACTAGCAGTTGTATTCATCTGCCACGCGTCTCGCAGCGGTCCAAGGTTTTGCGCAAATGCTGTGTAGTGCCGTGTAAGTGAATTCGGGACCCTGGTGACAGCCGCCCCCCATCCAATCACCAAGGTGTTAATGGGCGAAATCAAGTATTTATGACCGAAGTTGTGCTATTGTCTACAATAATTGGTATAGTTACATTTTGCTTCAGCAATTGCTGACGCCTGCATAGACTAAAACAATATAGTAGTGGGTCATACATTCCTTCGAGCCCTTATTGACCACTCGTCGAGTATATCATATATCACACCACCCATCAAAACCATTGCACTTTTTGCACCTCACGAGACGAGCGGCTTAGCTTCCTCATCTAATGACAAAGTTGCTGTTGGGTAATATCAGGTTTCTACCGATGTCATTCCGCTCTGCCTTAGCAATCACCCACCTGTACCAGACTGAGAGAATATGATGATTTGTCCG